TCGAAGTTAAATCAATTTGGGAAATTAATTATCAAATATAATGTTTAAGTCTTGAATCCAAACTATTCTAAGATCGGAACCAAATCCTGAATTACATATTATTAGAACCCTGATATAGGGCGCTACGACATCTGCTCTATAGATAGATAGATAATATATAGATAGATTGTTAGATAGATAGATAGATAGATAGATAGATAGATAGATAGATAGATAGATAGATAGATAGATAGATAGATAGATAGATAGATAGATAGATAATAGTAGTGATAATATAATAAATACAGTAATAATGACATTGTTGATACCCACGTGGTTCATAGATACATATAATTGATCATCATCATCATAAATACATAATACATATATTGACAATAAAACTTTAAGTAAGATTTAAAGGGACAGACCGGCTATGTAAGGTAGTTAAGCTGAGTATGCAGTGTTGTGGACACATTCTTTAGGATTCATTTCAGACATATAACACTTTTCCACGATGTATAATTACTAAGTTTGAGTGCACAGTCGACGATTAAAATCATGAATTTGGGTACATTTTCAGAATCGGTTTTTTAAATTATTAAATAACGACGACGAGAAATAAATTAAAAATTACACAGTAAACTAATTAGATGGTTAGGAACATATTTCTTAAAAGAAAGGAATTGAGTTTTTGCCACAAACTCGAATCTTCTGATCCCAATATCTGTGCAACCAGATGGTGAAAACCTTTGATATTTCAAACTTAGATTATTCTATCTATAAGTATTAATAGTTTGAAACATATAAGGTCTACGACATTGGGTTGCAAAGATATAGAGAATAGAAAATCAGAGTTTGTGGCAAAAACTCAACTCCTTTGTCAATAATCAATGCTAGAATCAATTATTTCGTTTTCAACCATTATATTGAATTTCTTACTTTCTATGAATTTATTCGCAGATTTATATAAATTTTTCAACGGTCGTCTTTTCAATATAAATTCCAGAATATAAGAGTAATGAAAATATAGAAACTAAACATTGAACAAGATTACTTTATTTTTGATGATTAATTTTTATTGTCTCAACCTGTTCCTAAACAACTAATTAGTTTAATGTAGAATTTTGTTTACATTATTTGTTGTCGTTATTTGATAATTTAAAAAAAGAAACAATTCTGAAAACGTATCCATGCCCAAAAGTATGTTTTTGAACGTCGACTTTGCGCTCAAACTCAGGTTTTACAGATCTTTAAAAAGTTTTATATGTCTCAAATGAATCCTAAAGAATTTGTCCAAAACACTGCATACTCTTTTTAACTACCTTACAGAGCCGGTCTGTCCCTTTAAAACTGTTCTAAATTTAACGTCCATGAAGACTTCAAATGATATACTGAATAATTTTTCAAAAAGGGAAACAATTTTAAAATTGGAACTTAGAGCCCAAGGTTAAAGTTTGGTAGAGTCGAGTTTCGTAGATAAACCTGTATTTATATATAAAGGGGAAAATATACATATATTTATATATATGTATTGATACAAAGATGACAATGTCCGATTTACAACGGCACCTTTACAACCTAACTGATAAAAAATGTGAAAGACAATTTATTTTCTGATTTGAAAAGTGTTTTTACTTCTGTGAGTTTCTACAATGCTTTAAGAAATCCGCAAGACACTTTCGCAGAGAAACCGGAAATGAAAATGAAAATGCATGGAGGAACACTTGAAATTACACTTACAATCCCTTAGATATGACTTATCTATAAAACTTTTTTCCATTCGAAGATATCTTTAGTTTCGCACACTGCTAAATTTTAGAAAGTGGATTTCATAGCCATATTTTTCAGATTTCACAATTGAATTCAAATTTTCAAATTTTATTATTAGATCATTTCTCGATTTGGATGCTTAAATGCTTTAATACAGGGGGAAGAAAGGTTTCAGGGAGCAAAATATTGTAAAAATGTCCTTACCCCTTCCTCAGCAATTATTTGGAACACACCACTTTTTGGTAGATTTTAGTATCGAAGGGATGTTGAAGACATCTTTGTGAAATAATGAAAAAAGAAGAAAAATCAATTTTATAAAAACAAAACAAAGCAAACTTTATAAAAACTACTAATTTCTTGTTCAATCGTGAGCTCACCAATGAACCTAAACTTAAAGAAAACCATTTAACCCTGTAATCTATCTTCTTCTATCAGGTGTTGTCCACTTTTTACCAGGAGCCAGGGATATCTAGCCAACAAGAAGGACTGGGGGGGGGNNNNGAAATAGTAAAAACATTTCAACTCATGGTTAAGCTCATTAAACACGGATATTCGTTGGAAGGGATTCATTCAGTAGTGGATAAATTAATCCTCAGAATTTATGAATGCAAGAAGTAGTTGAACCAGGCATGTAGGAGAAATAGTTGAACCAGGCATGTAGGAGAAGTAGTTGAATCAGGTAAGTAGGAGAAGTAGTTGAATCAGGTATGTAGGAGAAATAGTTGAACAAGGCATGTAGGAGAAGTAGTTGAACCAGGTATGTAGGAGAAATAGTTGAACCAGGTATGTAGGAGAAGTAGTTGAACCAGGCATGTAGGGAAATAGTTAAATCAGGTATGTAGGAGAAGTAGTTGTATCAGGCATGTAGGAGAAATAGTTGAACCAGGTATGTAGGAGAAGTAGTTGTATCAGGCATGTAGGAGAAATAGTTGAATCAGGCATGTAGGAGAAATAGTTTAATCAGGCATGTAGGAGAAATAGTTGAATCAGGTATGTAGGAGAAATAGTTTAATCAGGCATGTAGAAGAAATAATTGAACCAGGCATGTAGGAGAAGTAGTTGAACCAGGCATGTATGAGAAATAGTTAAATCAGGTATGTAGGAGAAATAGTTGAATCAGGTATGTAGGATGTTGAAGCAGGCATGTAGGAGAAGTAGTTGAACCAGGCATGTAGGAGAATTAGTTTAATCAGGTATGTAGGAGAAATAGTTGAACCAGGCATGTAGGAGAAATAGTTAAAACAGATATGTAGGAGAAAGAGTTGAACCAGGCATGTAGGAGAAATAGTTAAACCAGGCATGTAGGAGAAATAGTTGAATGAGGCATGTAGGAGAAATAGTTGAATCAGGCATGTAGGAGAAATAGTATATGTAGGAGAAATAGTTGAACCAGGCATGTAGGAGAATTAGTTTAATCAGGCATGTAGGAGAAATAGTTTAATCAGACATGTAGGAGAAATAGTTGAATCAGGCATGTAGGAGAAATAGTTGAATCAGGCATGCAGGAGAAATATTTTAACCAGGTATGTAGGAGAAGTAGTTGAACCCGGCATGTAGTAGAAATAGTTGAACCAGGCATGTAGGAGAAATATTTGAACCATATCTATTTCCTTATAATCAAGGCAAAAGATTAAATTCAACCTTCAGATCGTTATATTTCATGGACTTTTGGTCGTAATTATTTAAGTCTCACCCTGTGTGGGTAACCCTGTATACTTCTTGCAATGCATTATTCATCAATTCTATCCATATATACTTTGCATGTCTTTATGTTTTGGTTTTTGTTTGCATCCTATAAACGTCAAAATGGCTGAACCGATCCGGCCCAAATTTGTTGTGGGACCTCCATAAAATTTTGTAAATCCACGAAATTTTTTTTATAAACCCGTGAACCTTTTGTTTTGTTTTTGTTTTACAATGTAAACAGAGAAAAAATGTTCACAATTGAACTAGAAGATGGGTGCGCTGCGCCTTGGAAGCCTTGTACAATATACATTTCACCCCAAGTAAATTCAGACAGCCAGGAAAGTTGCTTCAATTTCAAAGATTAAAAGTCGACTTTAAAATGCCTCATCGTCTTTGGCTTTTATTTTACCTTACTAATTCACATTTAAATCGAATTACACGTAGAAGGTTTCAACCTATGGATTACTGTGAAGTAAATGATCAGTTTTATAGTCTTTCGTCAATCAATTTATCTTATAATCGTTTATATTATTTTTTCATCTATATGTCATTCTATATTTATCTATCCATCTATCTAGAATCTAAAGAATTATCTGGAAAAGTTGAAGAAATAATCGGATTGAAAACTTAGGGTAAAACAAGAATTCTGTTGAAGAAACACTAATTTCTTCAAACTTTTTCACAATTCCATTTTCTTTTTAGAATTATATTTCCATTTTGGGAAAAAAATTTAAAAAAAACATCTTATTTTACAGAAACTGAAGTTAATAATTTTCATGCGATGATTTAATTTCGATCTTTAGTTTTGTATAAGTACAAATGGAGGGGTAAATGTAAAATGCGCTTATTTCTGTTTTATGTCAAATATTCAACCTAAAGAATTACTGGAGCTACTTTGCAATCTCATAACTTCTTCAGTTTTCTCTTGACGCCAAAAAATGAGAAAAAAATCAATAAATGCAAGAACAAAAACTAAACTCACACTTTAGTTTAGAAAATATAGTGTGTTTACAGAAAACATATATTTTCTCCTTGTGATGTTTGTTCTCTATACAAGTACAATAAATTTTATGCTAACAAACTTGCAGTAAAAATCATATAAACAGTGAACACAGTTATTGAATTGAATTTTTCCCACAAACTTAAATTTACCTTTGCAACCTGATGGTGTATACCTTTGATATCTCAAACCTAGATTATTTATCCATACTTTGCAACCTGATGGTGTATACCTTTGATATCTCAAACCTAGATTATTTATACATACTTTGAAATATCTACTTCGTTATTGGGTTGCAAAGAAATATGGTTTAGAAAATCAGAGTTTGTGGCAAAGATTCCATTTATTTTTATTCAATCGCGAATAAATGATTTGATATATGAATTTTTCATTCATGATAGATTTAATGATAACATTGAAATAGTAAATATTCCACTGTTTAAGATGTTTTAATACTTGTTTGAACAAAATTAAATATATGTAAAAAAATGAACTTTTCAGAGAATTTAATAACTTTACACTTTTATAATGTTTAAAAATGAAACTATTGACCTTTTTATTTTAGAATTTGAAAAACCAAATTATGACAACAAACTTGTGGGTCGAACAGGTAAAAAAATTTTTAATTCTTAATTCTTTGTAACCTGATGTCAGAGACATCTCAAATTAATTTTCAACTTTTAAATCAAATAGTTACATAGTGTGTTGTGCTATCAATTCTTTTAGTTTAAAACTTACTTTTAAAAATCAAAAATATGGAAAAATTGTTGAATAATTATTTATTATACAAACGTTTAAAGTTTGCTGCAAAATTATTAGTACAGTTAGGTCCCAATATTATATCATAGGATGCTATAAATTAGGATTTGATGAAAAAGTAAAATGTTTAGATGATAATGTTTAAATTATTAGATCTACCAAATCTGAAGGATAATGAATAAATATATATATATTAATAACATTCGAAAGTATGAGTGGGCGGGGGGATATCTAGCACCATGGAAATCGATAATCAAATTACGGATTATTATACAAGAAATAAATACGTAATATGAGAACTACACAAATAATCAAATAGAAAAGATGAAAAATCTGGAATATGTTAGCTTTTTTTCTTTTTACACTTTTGGCAATTTTTGTAATTTTTGTTATCATAATAATCAACAGTAACAATTTATGCTCTTAGCTAATGATTTTCAAGCCTCGATTTTTTATCACACTCTTTAAAAAAAATTTCGCGGATTTAAAAAAATCATTTTTACCGTACTTAAAGGGAGTATTCGCGAAAAATAAGCGCTTTTGATTGCTACTAATCTTACTTCTATCTGTTGCGTCGATAAGGAGAAAAGTTTTTAAAACTACTCATATCGAGGATTGTACCGTCCATACAAATTCAGAAAGTTATTATTATTATTATTATTTTTATTATCACTATTATTATTATTATTAGTTCTGGTACGACTACAAGCTGAAATGGGATCCTGATGAGTATGGTGGTGTACGACAGCTTCATGTACCCAGTGATCACATCTGGAGACCTGATATTGTACTGTACAACAAGTAAGTGTACTGTGCGATAATTAAGTAAACTGTACGACAAGTAAGTTTACAGTACGGCTAGTAAGGTTTCTGTACAAAAAATAGGTTTACTGTACAACAATTAAGTGTTCTGTACAACAAGTTCTCTTTTTTGTTCAACAAAGAAGTCTGCTGTACAGCAAGTAATTACTTAAAACAGTTAAGTGTACTGTTCAACAGGAAAGTGTATTGTATAACAAGTAAGTGTTCTATACAACGAAGAAGTCTTTTTTACAATAAGTAAGTGCAGCTCTGTACAACAATTAAGTGTACTGTACAAAGATTAAGTGTACTGCACAACAAGTAAGTGTACAGGACACTGTACTAAAAGTAAGCGTATGGTACGCCAAGTAAGAACACTTTAATGCAAGGAAGTACTGTAAACCAAGTAAGTACTGTACGCAAAGTAAGTGTAATTCACGCCATATAAGTGCGTTGTACATATTCTATTTAGCCAATGAAAAGAAAAAAGTAAAAAGTTCTAATGGATTAAATCTGGCGGGTGGGGTGGGTTCCTGGAACTATATTAAGGATTGGAAAGATATAATGAGAAACTGGAAAAGGCATGCGCTCCTTCCCAGAAATTATTTCATGTTAGAGAAAATAAAAAAAAATAAATGTATTTTTAAATTCTTTATTTAATCTAAATCATTAAAGTTATTATGCGAACCTGCAGACTTATAGCAAAAAGGAATCAAAATATATTAAATCAAAATATATACTATATATGGTGTATATACCTGACCTAATAGTTCATCGGATAGTTTAATTTAGGCCAATTTTAATTCACAAATTTCTATAATTTTACAAACAAATAAAATTTTTTTTAAATATAATGCATCAAGGAAATATTTTTCTCTTCCTGAAAGATTTATGAAATTAACTCAAAAACTTGAAATAAAGTAAAGAGTAAAAAAAATAAAATATTTTTTTTAAAAATTTTTAATGAAGTTAAGCTTGTTGAATATCTGCAACTGATACTCTGAAATGTTTTATTAATGTTGAAAAAGAAAAAGAAATTGAAATAAAAATCTTTTCTGAAATTTGTATTTGAGTCAGGTAGCAGAACACTGTTTTCAGAGTTAGAAAACTAAATTTCTTTTCAATCCTTTCCTAACATACATCCCCCCCTCTCCCCTATATCTATCTATCTATCTATCTATCTATCTATCTATCTATCTATCTATCTATCTATCTCTATCTATCTATCTATCTATCTATCTATCTTTCTAGTGCTGATGGTAACTTCGAGGTGACCCTGGCTACTAAAGCAACCCTATGGCATCACGGCCTGGTTGAATGGAAACCGCCGGCTATTTATAAATCTTCTTGTGAGATAGACGTAGAATATTTTCCCTTCGATGAACAGACTTGTGTAATGAAGTTTGGATCCTGGACCTACGACGGGTTTCAGGTTACTTTTTAGATCATGTTTTTATATCATGTTTCAGGTTACTTTTTTTAGATCATGTTTTTATATCATGTTTCAGGTTACTTTTTTAAGATCATGTTTTTATATCATGTTTCAGGTTACTTTTTTAAGATCATGTTTTTATATCATGTTTCAGGTTACTTTTTAGATCATGTTTTTATATCATGTTTCAGGTTACTTTTTAGATCATTTTTTTATATTATGTTTCAGGTTACTTTTTTTAGATCATGTTTCTTGTTTCATGTTTTAGGTTACTTTTTTAGATCATGTTTTTATATCATGTTTCAGGTTACTTTTTTATATTATGTTTTTATGTCATGGTTCAGGTTACTTTTTTATATTATGTTTTTATGTCATGTTTCAGGTTACTTTTTTATATTATGTTTTTATGTCATGATTCAGGTTACTTTTTTATATTTTGTTTTTATGTCATGTTTCAGGTTACTTTTTTATATTATGTTTTTATGTCATGTTTCAGGTTACTTTTTTATATTATGTTTTTATGTCATGATTCAGGTTACTTTTTTATATTATTCAGGTTACTTTTTTATATTATGTTTTTATGTCATGTTTCAGGTTACTTTTTTAGATCATTTTTTTATATTATGTTTCAGGTTACTTTTTTTATTATTTTTTTATAAACGACTAAAAATATGGTTTGTGTGTTTGCCTCTGTTAATTAAAGAAACTATTCATGTAATTACAAGTGCTGGATTACCCTTTGGTTCTCTATTGGAATTTAATAATGGGAAGATATTGTTTTTGTTTTGTTTTACAAATGCCCAAAAAATCCCCAAGTAACCTACGATGAGAAGCGGCCGCCATTAAAAAAATTATTTTGAATTGAAAAAACTTAATTTTTTGCTAATAAAAATTGGTTTGCTTTGTTTTTACTTAACTCAAATTTTCTTATCTCTGTATTTGATCTGGTGGATTATCAAACTACCAGGTTGAAAATATATAGGGATTGAAAATATATAGGGATTTCAAATATATAGGGATTAAAAAAATATATAGGGATTAAAAATGTATAGGGATTGAAAATGTATAGGGATTAAAAAACTAGAGTTTGGGGCGAAAACTCATTTTTCTCCAGACAACTTGGCACATCTTTTTGATAAAGGAATTGGCAAAAAAATGCAAGGTTTAGAAGTAAGGAAAATATTTAAAAGCGTTATTAGACTTCTATATTGAAAAATGGAAAAGGTCAATGCCTCCTTTTTATACAACTTTGTAACCTCGTGGCTCCGCTAGTTTTGATTTTACGTTCAAGTATGATAAAAATTCATTTGATTGCTTGCATTTTAAAAATTCAATTCTTACCTTACTCTGCAGAAAGAGAAGTTATGATAAAAAACATTCAAAATTTAAATCTAACATAAATTTACTTTATTTTTTGTGATTATAGTTTCTACATGGTTTTCCTGAAGTAGAAATGCGCAATCGGCAATTGTCAATCCAAAATCTTTATTTTTTTAAATTATAAAATATCTTTAAATAAATCTTTTTTTAGCAAATCAATGGGTTGAAGTATGAACAATAAAGAAATGAAACATTAACCATACATTCAGATACAAGTTTTTACCAGACATATATATGTAGATTGAGATTTTTAATTAAAATATATAAATAGAATATGATTTTATAAACCTTGACCAACTTACATATATGTGATAGTAAGCAGTCCTTTGTCTTGATATGTTGTTTCTCAGATATTTCTTTTATCAATAAAAATTATTAGTCAGCTCTATACGTCTTTTTATTCCTATTGTGAATTGAAAACGTGTATTTTAGACAAATTTTATAGTATATATGTATTTTCATTGTACAATAAATGTACATTAAAGTAGTTCTTTCAAACTGAATTAACTGTTTGGTCCTTGGTCCAGCAAGCTGTCACGTTCGACCCCAATTTGACAATATTTCTTTTTCTCTTTTTGATTTATGTTTTGGCAGAGATTTGAATGAAAATGTAAATATTGACAACTCCTTAAATTTAAAGATAAAAGATAAAAATTGAAGAAACCGATCACATGGTGGTTTAAATGTACAGACTACTAAGGTAGAGGGAATAGGGGTTCTGTATGTATTTGTTTCTCTAGTCTTCAAACTTCGTTCATGACTAATATTTTTTACTTTCTGTGACGAAAAACTATTTTCTATATTTTATGGTTTATGGAATTAAGTCTTTGTAACAAACTCTGATTTGCTAATACCTATATTTTTTCCACCTGATGGTGTAAACCTTAGATATTTCAAACTTAGATTTTCATCTAACAGAATTCATAGTTTGAAATATCTAAGGTCTACGGCATTGGATTACAAAGCTATAGAGATTAGAAAATCATGGTTTGTGACAAAGACTCAATTCCTTTAAGCGTTCGTCATTTAGGCTTGGTCGTAAAATTTATTGACTCTTTATTCATTAAGTGGCATGTCCGATTCACAACGCTACCCTTCAAAACTTTATCACATCAAGAATGATTGAGATAGTCATGATTTCTACCGGTCACCACTTTTTAAATTGTGGGTTACTTGAAACAATAACGACAGCTCTTTTAACATGTTTTAAAAACTGTAAGAAAATTAGTTCAGGAAAGTTTTGAGTTTAAGACCATCATATATTTTAAAACTTTTGTTAATATTTTAGTCTTTTGTTTTCACTTTCATCTAGATTTGTACGTACAGAATACAGAATACACGATACAGGATAGAATGCAGAATGAAAAATACAGTATACAGAAGATACAGAATGCAGAACACAGGACAAAATGCAGAATGAAGAATACAGTATACAGAACACAGAACAAAGGTTATAATGCAGTTAAAAAATAATACAGAACACAGAACGCAGGACAGAATGCAGAATGAATAATACAGTATACAGAACACAGAACAAAGGTTTTAATGCAGATTAAATAATACAGAACATAGAATACAGGACAGTATGCAGAATGGAGAATACAGGACAAAGAATGCAGAATGAAGATGCAGAATTTTAGAAAGAATGCAGAATAAAAAATACAGAATGCAGAATGTGGAATACGGAATACAGGACATAGTGTAGAATAAAAATGCATAATGAAGAATACCGAACACAAGAACACAGAATGCTGAATACAGAATACAGAGTACTGAATACAGACTACAGATTACAGAATAAAGGATACAAAGAAAGAATCTAGGACGGAATTTGTTTAATCTAATTTAGTGTTGACATGTTTAGAACTCTAATATATTTAACTACAGTTCTTAACTTAGACAATATACTCATAAACCTACTGCAGAGTCAAAAAATGACTAAGTAGAAAGTTCACAGACCGTAAATAGTCTTCAGGACTACGTAGAACCTACACATACCGTGGGTAGTCTTCAGGAAAACGTAGAAACTACACAAACCTATACGTAGAACCTACACAGCCCATGTGTTCCCTTTTAGGACTACGTAGAACCTACAACAACTTTGCATAGTCTTTAGGACTACGTAGAACCTACACAAACTCTGATAAGTCTTTAGGACAACGTAGAACATGCACAGACTAGGGTTTCCAGCGAAAAGGAAAAATCGTTTCCGAAAGAAGAATTTTTAGCGACCAATTCGCTTCATTTCGCATTTAGTTCACTTGCGAAAAATGCGAAGATTTTCGCTTTTTTGCGCGAAATTTTCCTTCAATCTGTTTCGCGGAAATGGAAATAATGCAAAAAAACACGAAAATTTCGCGAAAAATACAGAATTTTTAAAAACAAATGCAAAATTTCAGCGAAAATTCATCAAAAAAGACTAAATTTTGAGAATACAAGACTTATTTTTAAAGAGGGATTTATCCGCGAACCCAATTGATGGATTAACACAAATATAAATACAGATTTAAGAACAACTAGGAGACATCAAACAATTCATAGACTTGCTTGTAAATACTTTCTTGACCGTTAAGATCTTTCTTCTTAAAACACTAAATAAAGTCTACTACGGGAAGAACCAAAATAATTCGGAAATTTAAAAAGATAGCTATTCTTCAAATATCAGAGGAGAGAATTCCACAAGTTCTCATAGAGCAATTATTTTTTGCAGCTAGAAAGCTCATGGTTTTCACAAATTTTTCACATTTCGCAATAATATTTTCGCGAAATTTTAAATTTTGCAAATATATTTGCATATTTTAATTTGCTGGGTCCAGGGATTTATAAAAGTTGTTCAATTTATCATTGTTCGCGCACTTTTTGTTTTCGTACATTTTTTGCTAAGTAACTTTATTTGGCAAATTTGCTAATTTTGTTGGGGTAACAATTTTGAAGGGTTGAAATTAGGCCGAGACGAAAAATTATTATCGTAATTCGGAATAGCAAACCTATAAAATCAGAAATAAAAATTAGACATTCTTGTAAAGCCTCCTAACAGTTGACAACTTTAATCAAAGGTTTAAAGAAAAACCAATAACCAGGCTTATCTCTCGTCATAATATTGCTGAAGTATTGAATCCTTTAAATGATATATGTAATACAATCCATAATATTGTACGGCTTCAACCAATTTATTTCACCCGGCGCAGTTATAATATTAAATTATATTTGATTAAAAACACAAGAACTCGGCACTGCATCCTTCAATATTCAATATTTCGCTTCAAAAGAAATTATTGTCACTAACTCAAATGTTCTAATCCTTATATCTGTTCAATCTCATGGTAAACCTTTCATAATTCGAAATTATATTATTTGAAAACCTGAATGTTTGCGACAATGGGTGGCAAAGATTTAGGGATTAAAATTAGAGTTTGGTGGCAACAACTCAATTCCTTCGTCTTTATACTCTTGTATTAGTTTATAGAATAAAAACAAAATGGAAACTAGTTCTGTCATGCTTTTGAGAGGAAAAATAAACGTTTCTGCTTAAAAAATATTTTTTCACATAAAATGACATCTTTTGTCGCTTAAGCCTCATGTTAGGTATATCTTAGATATTTACAATACAAATGTTCTTATGCTACCATTATACATCATCTATTGATTCAGGGGGTACATTTTTATATGTTTTCAGCAAGATATTTGTACACAAAAAAAAGGGATCACATTACCATGAGAAAGAACTTTAAACTTTAAACTTTAAACCGGTTTTTGTTTAATTTGAGACGCAACTTAAATTCATTAAATTCTGACAGTGATGTTGTAAACCTTTGATATTTTAATTTTAGATTACTGATCTATTAAAATTAAAAATTTGAAATATTATAGGTTTACAAAATTGGGTATATATAATTGGGAAAGAAAATCTGAGTTTGTGGGAAAACTCAATTCTTTAAATTAAAGAAAAGATTAAAAATAGTTTTGAAATATACCAAAAACAATTTTTCAACATTCCAACTCATTCTAACAGAAACAATAATTATATAAAGAGTAGTAAATAACATTTAAATCCTCAAAATTCTAGATGTACCTTCCTCTCTATATTAGATTTTTAAATTGAATATTTCCAATTTTGCAAATTATCTTTTTCCATATTAAACCAATCTTTTGCAGAAATATTTCAGCAGATTTGCAATTTCCCAAAGAAAAATGCACCGGGGGCTTATACGTATTCGAAAGTAATTGTCATAAACTTTATCTTTGTAACTCAACAAAATCTTAAATCAGTCAAACTAATGTTTACCCCATCAGGTTGCAAAGATTTAGGACTGAAATAATTGGGTTTGTGGCAAAGTCTCGATTTATTTTTTCTAACAAAAATCAATTCTTGATATTTTTTCAAAATTTCAAATTTAAAAAAAATATTTTAGCAAATTTGGTACAGCCGTTTCGCTGCAGTGGCTGCAGTTATAGCTAATACATAAATATATGAGCGAAGAAATGTATTAAATATTATAGATTGTATTATACTTCTTTAGTTCTTATTATTAGGATTAAGGGTTTCCTAGTTTTATGAAACTTACGTTTCGTTTTTATTTTTAATGAAGTAACTTCAAGTACATAGATAACTCTTTTTTTAATCGTCTCGTCACATCTTGGAACCTATACCTGTCAAAATTTTGAAAAGCCAAGATATACTTAAACATTTTCAAGAAAAAAAAAACGCGAAGAAAGATACAATTATCTAAACCGAAAAATCGATTATGCAGGCGCGCTTAAATTAAAGGATCATATTAAATCTTCAGTTTAGAATTTTTTAATTTATTTGAGATGAAAGAAAAAAGTTTTTAAACACTCTATTTAATTGAGCTTATTTTAAAGTTTTTAAGTAAACTTATTTTAGTGGAGAAAACTTGAAAATGTTTAATTTTACATCTTCAGAATATATTCAACCTCCAAATCTATTTATCACTGAATTTTAAAGTGAAAATTCCTGAAATAAATAAAAAGATAAATTATGGTTCGAAGTTCAAAGAAAAATAGATTTTAGTTTAAAATCAATAGGACTGGAACACGTAATTTTAACATTTTTAATTCACCTTAAATGTGAAATGTTTCATGTCCTGGACTAAAACTGTAGGTTTAATAAAGATTAGATAAGATATTGTTTTCTAAAAGAAAATTGATAATTTTATTAAATTAAAGAAATGGTTAAAATTAAAAATGTTTTAGAATAAAAAAACGACATTTTCTTGCTTATTGTTAATGAGAGAGAGGTAGCGTGTGTATATCCGATGTTTTATTTTAAATGTATTTGGTATTACATATCCGGTAGTATAAGATTTGGTATTACATATCCGGTAGTATAAGATTTGGTATTACATATCCGGTAGTATAAGATTTGATTTGGTATTACATATCCGGTAGTATAAGATTTGGTATTACATATCCGGTAGTATAAGATTTGGTATTACATATCCGGTAGTATAAGATTTGAATCCAATAACTGACTTTTAATTTTCTTTTTAAAACAGGATTTGTGTTGCAAACACTTCTACAATTAAATCTTATTACAATTTAAAATGGCTAAAAGCTACGTAATTAACGTATTTTAATTTCAGGTTGATCTGCGCCACATGTGTGAGATCGAAGGTGATCATCGTTTTTATAGGGAGTGTTCGCGAAAAATGAAAGGGGGTATAGGAGCTAATCCCGAATTCAATTCGATATCGATCGCTACTAATTAGACTTCTCTCTGTAGTTGTATATAAATAAAATATGGTTAAAAACAACTCATACCGAAGAGCGTAGGACCATACAAATCCACGAAGTTGCATTATTTTACCTAGATTTGGGATCAGCCTATATCCCCATTTCATTTTTCGCGACCACTCCCTTTAAAAGGAAGAGTTAACATTTCTAGAAAAACGCAATCAAAGTAATTTTTTGGATTTAAGGACTCAACTTACGTTACCTTGTTTGTTCACCTAAATAAGTTTAAAATCTTGTTTCGTCTCATCATTAAAAAAAAAATAAAACGTTTTATCCTGTATGTTGACTGGTGACTGGTGATGTCTTTATTTCCGACATGTTTTAAGATAGAATTAATATGAAAGTTATGTAAATCTAAATGCTAAATATCACTGTGACATAATGCAATCAATTATATGTTGTATAATATAGTTAATACAATCAAGAATGTGTTTATTGTATATTGGTCCCACTATTTGGCGAGTTATAACAATAAGTATTTTTGAGATCCTAAGCTGAGGGGAAGGGAGGGGAGCTAGGGGTTAAGAGAAAATGGAAACTTTTTTTGATTTGTAATTTCAAGTGACCCTCCATGTAAAGATATGGCAATACCAGATTCAAAGCGGTTCCTTGAAACCTTAGTATGAATTAGATATCAAAGTTTGTAGCCAAAATATTAACGAAGAACGGTCAATGTTTCTCGTTATGAAGCTAACTACAATTTTCTCTAATATGAAAAAAGACAACTCGCTCCCATGCATGTTTATGTTAAAACATGCACAAAGTTATTTATGGCAGTTTCTAATAATAGGCAATCTTCCTTGATGAACGGTCAATGTTTCTCGTTATGAAGCTAACAACAATTTTCTTTAATATAAAAAACTCGCTCCCGTGTATGTTTATGTGAAAACATGCACACAGTTATTTGTAGCATTTTCCAATAAGAGATAACACACACTGTGTTTGTAGTATCTCCCAGTCATATTTCATAAAAGAATGCTATCTTATCATGTATAATGTAGTTTTTTCTTTTGAACTGCTACTTCGTCAATACTTGAATATAAAATTAGCAGCAATTTTGGCAAGAAAAAACGAAAAAATGTATTCGTATACTACTAGATTTCTTCTTAATTAATTTACAAATGTATGTACACGATAACATCGTAAAAAAGTTTTTTGTTAATTCCATATAAACAATTTTGTAAACATGTAAAAAGCTCGATGCATAAATAAATATCTAGATCTTAAAAAAAATTCAATTGGAGTAAGGTTTTTGTATGAATAAGTATTTTTTTCAAGTTGAATATAACTTTATATTTTATTTTATTTTATTTTAGGAACTGACACGGTAGAGCTGGGGATCGATCTGTCTGAATTCTATATGTCTGTCGAGTGGGACATTTTGGAGGTCCCCGCAGTCAGGTATAGGACATTTTGGAGGTCCCCGCAGTCAGGTATATGACATTTTGGAGGTCCCCGCAGTCAGGTATATGACATTTTGGAGGTCCCCGTAGTCAGGTATATGACATTTTGGAGGTCCCCGCAGTCAGGTATATGACATTTTGGAGGTCCCCGCAGTCAGGTATAGGAAATTTTGGAGGTCCCCGCAGTCAGGTATAGGACATTTTGGAGGTCCCACCGGTCGGTCTAGGAAATTTTGGAGGTCCCCGCTGTCAGTTTTAAGACATTTTGGAGGTCCCCGCAGTCAGGTATATGAAATTTTGGAGGTCCCCACAGTCAGGTATATGACATTTTGGATGTCCCTGTTGTCAGGTATTCGACATTTTGGAGTTTCCCGATGTCAGGAATAGGACTTTTCGGAGGTCCCTGTTGTCAGGTATAAGACATTTTGGAGGTTCCCACTGAAAGGTATAGCCTATACCTGTCAGCGGGGACCTTCAAAATGTCCTATACCGTATATGACATTTTGAAGGTCCCAGCTGTCAGGTAGTGAAAATTTTGGAGGTCCCTCCGGTCAAATTCACCCTGTACAAAGATTAACTGTAAGCATCAAGTCCAAAAACTAACGACACAAATATCATCAAGAATAAACGTAAAAATGTTTTCAGTTTGAGTTATTGCTTTAAAAAAAAACATTGATCCATTGAAACCATTCAAATATTTTCATTTTTAAATTCTCATATTCACTTGCTGCATCTTTTTTTAGTTTTAATATATAAAATTTGGTAAGTTTTATCTCTAAACGTCCTGCAAACAAACAAACAAGTTAGAAAGAAACATAGTGTTAAAACCACGAATTTAGATAAATATAGAATTATTTCCTTCAGACGTTAAATTTCAGGGCTTTGTCATAACTTCAAGAAAAAACGTTTAATTCGAATTCTCGGCACAATATCCAACTTGCACTTTTGAACCTTTTAACTGTTTAAGTCTTAAATCCCTTTGCGACATTAAACTCAACTTTGAAGATTAATTCTGATAAATTTTTCTCCTGAAATATTTTCAAGAATTGGTTGAGTCTCATCTCTTCTCAGTTCTGATCTGAAGAATATAATTTCATGGTTGAATGGTTAGTACGGATGGTATATAGATGGTACCAGGGCAATTTTGATTAACATTCTAATAGAGTTTTGCAGAAAAAATATTAATCCAAATATATTCTTCCATTTTATTTTTATTTGTTCATTGATTTTTACAGTGTACCTGTACCTGTACCCGTACCTGTACCTGTACCTGTGCCTGTGCCTGTATCTATACCTGTACCTGTACCTGTACCTGTACCTGTACCTGTACCTGTACCTGTACCTGTACCTGTACCTGTACCTGTACCTGTACCTGTACCTGTACATGTACTTGTACCTTGGACTCACAGCTTTGTTTGGAAACTAAAATTTCCCTATAAACAATAAACATCGATTCAAATAAAAAATTTCAAATCAAATTTTCTACCAATTTGAGGCAAAGTGAATAAAGAACTCATATTCTATGATCGGACAAACAAACAAACTGACATCCAAATAGAGTTTACTACTTTTTATATAAATAATATGATTAGATTGTTTTAACATTTTATTTGTTTAGAAATGAGAAGTTTTATACCTGCTGTGATGAACCCTATCTAGATATTACCTTCAATATAACTATGAGAAGGAAGACATTGTTCTACACTGTCAACCTAATCATACCTTGCATGGGGATATCCTTCCTTACAGTCCTTACCTTCTACCTTCCTTCAGATAGCGGGGAGAAGGTAATATTTAACTAAGGGTGGGACCATTTGCCATTTTTTCGCATCGAAATGTTCAGATCCTTTTAGCACGTGTCTTAAAAGTATTTTAAGACACGTAGTTTTTTAAGACACGTGCTGAACAATTTTTGCTTTCTTTCAAATTCGTTAGGCGCATCACAATTTTGTAAATATTACTTTCAAAATATGTTAAAATGTGTATATACAAAAGAAACGGTAAGATCATAAAAATTTTACTTCTCCAAAAAACTTCTTTTTTGGCCTTAGATCAAACTGTGCAGAACGTATAAGAAAACAAAAAAACATTTCAAACATCAGAACATTGAAAGAAAGACGAAATTCGCAGACTATTTGTGTAATCTAGGAGCGCAAATGTTTTTTGTATGAAATAGCGCTTATCTAAAACACTCGCTCCCAATTCCAAGCTATACCAACTTTTCAATATTAGTCTAATATGCTTGATCTTTCAATCTTAGTTATCTCTGAATAATATGCTTGATCTTTCAATCTTAGTTATCTCTGAATAATATGCTTGATCTTTCAATCTTAGTTATCTCTGAAACGCTCCGAGCATAAGATATCCAAGATAGATTGTAGATTAAATAATAAATCTTTTAAAATTGTATCTATTAAATAATAAAAGACTAAAATAATCCAAAAACAGCATTTAGTGTCAAGAAATTGAGTCTTTGATTTTAAACTTAAATCATTTTATTAAACAAAATTCTTATTTTGAAATATCTAAGTTTTATGAAGTTGGTATATAAGAAATAACATAAGAGACACTTATTGTGATAAAAATAAAAGAAAACTGAATAAAGTCTCAATCCTTTGAAGGTAACACTGTATAAACAACAGATCTAAAAGGAGTTGAGTTCTGGTCACAAACTCTAATACTTTTATGTCTATATTTTTGCAACCCGATGTCATAGACCTTTGATTTTTCAACCTTTAAAATCTATAAGTTCAAACAGTTTGAGTTTGAAAGTATACAAATGTTAATACCATCAGTCTGCAAAGATATAGGAATGAAAATATTTGTGTCAGTGGCAAGAACTCGGTTCCTTTGGGTAGATTTTAATTAGACCATTCGTTAAAAGGAAACACCTTTTCGATAACTGGTCCGACGTTTGTACTGTTCCGACGTTTGTACTGGTCCGACGTTTGTATAGTCCAACGTTTTTACTGCTCCAACGTTTGTACTGGTCCAACGTTTGTACTGGTCCAACGCTTTTGCTGGTCCAACGTTTGTACTGGTCCAACGCTTTTGCTGGTCCAACGTTTGTGCTGGTCCAACGTTTGTACTGTTCCAGCGTTTGTACTGGTTTCACGTTTGTGCTGGTCCAACGTTTGTACTGGTCCAACGTTTGTGCTGGTCCAACGTTTGTGCTGGTCCAAACGTTTGTACTGGTCCAACGTTTGTACCAGTCCGACGTTTGTACTCTCCGACGTTTGTAGGTCTTAGGTTTGTACCGTCCGACGTTTGTACTGGTAGAGAAAAAAACCTCTATTTTACTGTAAAACTATGAACTATGAACTTGCGAAGTAAAAAAAGGCGTAACGCGCTCATCTCTACTTGTAATGCGCGCATACGATTTATCATTATAATATAATTAACATGTATCCGAGGCTGACGTCATGCCCCCCCTTTATTCCCTTGGCTGAGAGTAAAATAAGAGAAAAATAAAAGAGTTTCCAAGTTTTTATTTCTCTCCGGTACAATATATAAACACGGAGACTGCCAACTCTAGTCTGGGTTAAACAATAGTAAAGCTACACAAGCAACAGATGATTAGGAATCACCATGCCAACAAACAATGAATCGGCACCAAAAAAAGATATTATAAACCCAGCATGAAAAGGATTGAATAAAAAATATGTTTTTTTTTCTATCCGAAGTCTCTGTTTTGGATCAAAATGCTGCGTTTTTTTTTCTTGAAAGAAAATGCAAGAGTTGATAAAATGATCATTGATTAAAAATATTTTTTTTCGGATATAGCTTTATTAATAGCAAAAAAAATAGCAAAATTTGTTCAATTATTTATTTCATTAGCTATTTAAAATGAATAATTTGAAAGTTATTCATTTTTAAACAGTATTAGCTTAGTATTTGTGTGCCTGATTCCAGAATTGGTTTCTCTGGCATAGTTGTAAGCTTTTCTTGAATATTCTTGAAGAGTTTAAGAAAATTTCATCAACTCAAAACTGTACTTTTCATTTCTGTAGTTAGACAGCTGAATTCTTCTTTTTTGTATTGCTGGATAATTGCGTCAGCAATCGAGACTGGGAAAAGCGTTATAACTTAACTTTTTTCCAGAAACGTATTTGTTTTCAACATGTTTTGCACAGACAACATTAAATTTTCCTGGAGTCCAGAAACCTGGCTTTCCTGGAAGTTACTCCACGTTTTTTTAAACTTTTCATCTTTAGGAAAAGAATGAAATCTTATCTTATATGTTTGATCCGTGTAACAATTTAACACTGAAAAATCCCCATGCTTGTTTATACTTAGAAATCATGTAACTGATCAAAACAAATCCCCCAAGAACAGTGTACTACATGTACACAATAACATACCAATACATGTTTACAATGTCATACCAATACAGGTGCCACCTGTTATTCTATAGTATATATATTCTGAGGAATACACAAACTTCATTTTATTTGAATCCCCAAAAATACAATACAAAAATAATCTATTTCGAATACACGAAAAGAACTTGATTGTATATTGAAAAAAGATGTTCTACTAAGAATACCGTTATTAATCGGGCATTGCCGTCTTTGCAAAGAGATTGGAGGGACACTTTAAACTATGCTTACAATCCCTTTACCAAGAATATACAAACATTAATGTAATTAAAATATTATATCTATTGAAGGAAGATAAAAAGTAAGAGAAATAAAATGAATCCAATGGAGACCATGAGAGAACAGGAATTGAAAATTCTACAAAAAGATAAAAGACCACTTTGTTATGAAAAGAAGATGAAAGCTTTCAACGACAATCTTCTATCTTTTTGAGATACACATTGAAAGTTCTTATATAGTATCTTTAATGTTTTATAAAATGTCTCAAATGCTGGCAATAAAATTGTTTTAGACGTGAAAATCAGATTAAAGTAAAGTACGGACGATTTACAAGCAATTTGGCAATTCAGATTTTTTATTCAACTCGATTTTGACCATACACTGTTTATTTAGGAAATCTCATTTTTTACGTCACCATCTTGTTGAGTGAAAATTCAGTTCGGCCATATTGATTTATTCTTCAAAAAGGTCCTAACGTCGGAGCCTGGTTTGTTTTGTAAATTTCTTCTTCTTATCCGGGAATAAAAAAATGCATTTAAAAACTTATTTTACAGATTTTCGTCAAACTAAGAAACGGCTTTTTAAATGTCACATAAAGACTTTTTCATCAAATTTTTGGTTATTTTGTTTGTTATAAAAACAAAATGATGTAATTTTTTCCTGAAATATTTTAAATCCTTTCCAGATACTGTTTCTGATATCTATCTAAAGAAACTGAATTCTTGCCAAAAAGTTTTAATCTTCTAATTACTGTATCTTCTCAATCTTGTGATGTTAACCTTTTATACTTCAAACCAAGACTATTTGCTCGAACAGAATTTATAGTTTAATATATCAAATTTCGGTTGCAAAGGTAAAATATATTAAGAGTTTGTGGCAAAAAATCTGTTCCTTATGTTATGTTAAATGATATGAAGACCTATTAAGAACAATTCTCTAGATTTACTTTTATTTTAAACTTTATTTTTCAATTTTATGACTTTGAATTTGTTGTTAAACTTTGAGGTGCAAATATTAAAAGTTATTGAGCTGAAAAGTTGACAAAATTGTACTTTAAAAGCAAATACAAACATTCCAGACGAAAATATTTGAATTTGTCAATGGCGTAATTATAGATGTTAGATACAAAGGACTGCATACCTAATTTCAAGTTATTTTGTTTATCCGATTCACAGAAGAACCCTTTAAAGCTTTATCTGATCAAGATTTCAAGAATTTATCATTTTCCCTTTGAAAATTAAGTATTTTCAATTGTGGTTTCAGCATATATGCTTTAGATAAGATGGAGGAAATTGCCAGAATCTACCTAACATTTTTCAAACAGAGAAAAAAGATTTTTCTAATTTTTTTACCAGAAAAAGATTTTTAAAAATAAATTGAACGACCTCTTCAAAAGAAATGTATATGTGCTATCTAGACAAAACTAAAAATAGAAAGCTTGATAATTAAATACTGAAATCAAAGTAATTTTTTAAATACTTTTCATTTAAAAAATTAGACACATTTCTAGATTGCTTAAACAAATATAAACATTTACTATGCAAGAAATTCTACTAATTAAAGTATGTAATTCTCTCTGAAACTCTGAATCTTAAATTACAACGAAAAATACGAAGACTAAAAAGCTAGATAAAGAAAATGAGTCTTTGTCACATACTCAAATTTTGCAATCCCTATATATTTGCAACCTGATGTAAAGTTGTGATATTTCAAACTTGATTACTTTATCTATCAGAATTCATAGTTTGAAATATCTTAGGTTTACTACATTGGTTTGCAAAGATATACGAATTAGAAAATCATAGTTTGTGGCAAAGACTCAATCCCTTTACATCTTTATGCCAGTACTTTCCTAAAATTGAAAGGGAGGGATTAGAAAAAGTATATACCCAGTAGCTTCACCTGAATTGGATTCTAAGTCGATCAGAAGTTGACATGTGTTTGAACATAATGAAAAAGAAGATTGACACCGATCAATTTCGAATTTCAGAAATTATTATCACTGAGATTGGAATTTATGAATACTAGACTATCAGGACGCGTCGCTAGAAGATGCTGATCAATCGACCAGCATTTTCCATCATTTTCTTTCCGTTTTTTTTCGTGGATTTTCAAAATGTTATGAAATAAAATTTTTTGGAACCCAATTGTTATAGCACTGGGCATCCATAAACCTTTCGTGGGGTTATGTGAGGTCCCACACTAAATGTGGACCCAATAAGTTTAGCCGTTTTGACGTATATTGGATACAAACAAACAGACAGACAAGCAAAGTGTATATACAGACTAGAAGATTAAATCTTGTTTGCTTCCTTTGTTTATTTATTCATTTGTTTTTTCCTTAACACGTACCTTTAAACCGGGTTTAGCATGATCACAACTTCGGACGAATAGAACAGATAAATTTAGTGTTGAGCCTTGAACACAACTGAATTAATATAATGAGATGTGGTGCAGACATCAAGAACCACAGGCAGGCTTTTAAATCACATATTGTAAACCTATACCGAAGAAACACACGCTTTTAATTTTATACAGGGTGTCCCACGAAACATGACAGTTTTGAATGTCTTCTTCCATGCACTGTATTAGATGTTAAGGACGTTTTGCAGTGTATTTAGTTTATAAGACCTTTTACTCAAATATATTTTATCTTGAAATCCATTTTACTATAATATGACTGCCATGAAATATTTTTTATTATTCTCCTTAGTATCATATCAAACAACTTAACAAACTATTTTAAACTATTCACCAACTATCATGTTTCGTGGGACACCCTATATTTTAAAAGAAACTGAACATGTTCCTAAAAACTACGATTTACTTTCTATATTTTGCAACCTAATATTGTAAACCTTTAATATTTTAAATGTTCACTGGTTGAACTAGCAGAATTCATATTTTTAGAATTTACGAATACAGGTTGAAAATATTAAAGGATTAGAAAATTAGATTTTTTGGCAATTGCTTCTTTCATGAGTACAAATGAGTAGAAAATGTAAGAAAAAATGTACATTTTATATAAACGATACATATTGACAAACAACATATTCAACACATCTATAAATATCTGGAATCTATAAACCTATATATTGATATATTATGTATCGTGCCGACATCAGCAGTTTTCCCACTTTATACCCCTCATCTCATCCCTTCTAGCACACAGCTGATCAAGCAAATATGGAACTAGGCTCAACCATATAAAAGGGTAAATGACACTAAGTGCTGTGGAATAAAAAGACGACTTTCTGAATTATGTTTTGAATAAATTATATGCAAACCTGAAGTGTATTTGTAAACAGAACATTTCACATTTATTGCTCGTCTTTTGCTTCTCCTTTCTTATTGTAACCCCAAAAAAAACCATTCATATTAAATTGAGTTGTCCAAACACGTCAAATTGAGTTGTCCAAACACGTCAAATTGAGTTGTCCAAACACGTCAAATTGAGTTGTCCAAACACGTCAAATTTTTTTTTCAAAGTTTTTTTTTTTGATTTTAAACAATCGTCTCTGAGCACTGCTGGTTAAAACGTATATTTTTTACATTTTTTTATTTTCATTTTTTTTGTTTGAATCTTGTTTTGCCGTTTAAAAACAAGCAGGCTGGCTGGGGGGTCTAAATCTAAGTATAGCCGGGGGGGGGGGGGCGTTTGGCGTTAGGAAGTAGGAAGGGTTGAAAAAAAATGCCTAAGAAAGGGTAAAAAAAAATAAAGAAAATTTTTTTTGTTGTTTAATCAAATCCCAAAGTGTGACACATGCATTTTTCAAGGACTTTTAAAAAAATAGTTTTTAGATCTGTAGCTTTAGTCACTTTTTCACAGACCGGACTTTTTTCCGCCCTCTACTTTACCCTATAAATTTAAATTACCATTCATTAAAAGTCACAAAATTTCACCCTGATGGTGTCAAAAATGAGAGTGCTAGGACAAAAAAAAACTACAGGGGGCGCCAACCCCCCCCCCTTCCCAGCCTGTTTAGGGTTAACAAATTCGTTTAAGATCTCCGACATTCTTTTCTTGTTTTATTTCTCCTTTGTTCAACTTTGATAAATTAGCAAGATATCTTTTCTTTTTCAACCTTTTTGTAATTATATTGTCTATTTGTTGTATTGTCTACAGCTCAGTATTGTAATTATATTGTCTATTTGTTGTATTGTCTACAGCTCAGTATTTATTACCCCTGTCTCTTCACCCATTGAAAATACATCAAGAGACCCCACACTACAGACTAGATAGATCAAAAAAGGCCAAAAGAATTGAGTCTTTTCCACAGACTCAAATCTTCTAATTCCTTTATCTTTGATAATCTCAGACAATTTGACCTAACACAATTTATGGTTTGAAATATCTAAGGTGGCAAAGACTCAATTTCTTTCTGCGACATTCATTACTGGTTAAACCTTTTCACCTCTTAATTTCTCTAGTTTTGATTTACGCAAAAGTATGCACCCACTCCATAAGTTGCATTATTCAAGGTGGTACAACCAGTACTATTTATGCCAAAAGTCGTACTATCCACTCTATCTACCCAGTGTAGAGTGCAGGTTTTATGCAACGAATTTAGATTGGAGGAGTTATGATTGAAAACATATAAGATTTTAATCTTTCCTAAAATTTACTGTAACAAAACACTGCCTGAGCTGGACTTAGTTTGTTTTTACATTTCTTCCACTAACTGCAGTACACGATTAATGAAAACAATGATATCGAGTATCTTTGCGTTATAGTTTCTATATAAAAAAAACATTGACTATAGAAATACCGGGGAGTTTATGAGGCATGCGTATGTAATTTTCTTTTCCAAAAACGATTGATTTTCTAAAAACGACAGTTTTTATGAAGTTCGTCGTTTCGTTAACGATCGTTAACATAGTTGTCGATAATTTTTTTTCAAAAACGATCGTTTTTTCAAAAGCGATCGTTTTTTAAAACAATCGTATAAAAACTGTCGCAAATCGTTTTGATGAAAACGATCGTTTTCAAAAACGAAACAAAAAAAAAGAACGCTTAATGATCGTTTTTAAAAACGATTTACAACCCTAGGTATATATATACTCTTTAAATAGAGGACCAATCGATCGAAATTATATTTACAGTCCCTTTAAAGTTTAACTAGATGAGCCTTGAATAAAACTATCCTGATGTTTAGGTGACGTTATCCATCTCTATCCTCACAAGTTTATACGTTTTCTTCCTCCTGGTGGTAGAGATTATACCTCCCACCTCACTCGTCGTTCCTCTTCTAGGCAAATATCTTATATTCGCTATGATTCTGGTATCTTTAAGGTAAGATTAAAGGGATTCACTGCGAATTTAAAGATTTTTTCTGGTGTTAAAATAAACTAAGTTATTATCCGAAAGGAATTGAGACTTTGCCACAAACTCAGATTTTATAATACCCATACCTTTTCAACCAAATGTCTTAGACCTTTGATATTTAAACTATGCATTCTGTTAGATCAATTATACCTAAATTTGAAATAGTTTACTTTATCAGGTAGCAAAGATATAAGGAGTTTGAGTTTGTGGCAAAGACTAAATTCCTTTAAAAAGGCGAACAATCTCTTTAAGGCAGATTACCCCCCCCCCCTCCTCTTTAATAAAAAAGAAAGTATAAAAGCTATTCTATATATATTCGTTATTTATGCATATACTTCCTACAATCAATTGTGCTTTTTCCTAATCCATATCATTAGTGTTTATATATATATGTATATATCCATGTAATATATGTTAATTTAATGTGTATCTATTTATATGTAAAAAAATGCATACATATATACATATAAAATACTGCTGGGGCATGGTATATAGTTTTGGGGTTTTTTACAGCTTCACAGCAGTTTTTTGGTGATTTAAGAGACTTCTTAAGAATCCGAGTGAATTTGTCAAAGAAATTTGGCGTTAAATTGATGTTTAGTTTTATGATATTCAAGATTGTCGCCTTACGTTGCATTTTTGCCAATTTTACATTTGAGATTTCATCTGAGATAAATTTGGTTGAGTGACTTTGGAAAGATGAAAACAAAAGTTTAATCTTGTTTTATAGTGTCCTTCAGAGTTTAATCTTGTTTTATAGTGTCCTACAGAGTTTAATCTTGTTTTATAGTGTCCTTCAGAGTTTAATCTTGTTTTATAGTGTCCTACAAAGTTTAATCTTGTTTTATAGTGTACTACAGAGTTAAATCTTGTTTTATAGTGTCCTACAGAGTTTAATCTTGTTTTATAGTGTCCTAAAGAGTTTAATCTTGTTTTATAGTGTCCTACAGAGTTTAATCTTGTTTTTATAGTGTCCTATAGAGTTTAATCTTGTTTTATAGCGTCCTACGGTGCCGTGACAAACTCCTGAAAGACAAACTCCTGAAAGACAAACTCCGGAAAGACAAACTCCGGAAAGACAAACTCCGGAAAGACAAACTCCTGAAAGACAAACTCCTGACGAGACAAACTCCTGAAATTATGAAATTTTTCTCTGAATGAAATTTGATAAAATTCATAAACTTTAGAAGAAAAATCCGCAAATATTCTAGAAAAAATTCTCAATCTTTAGTAATTTGAATATGCTTCTAACAGCAAAGTATTACAATGATCAGAATAACCAGCAAATTTATTATTATTTATTTTTTATTATTTAGGGTTAGGTTAGGTTGAGACACTTTCTGGGCCGAGCGCTGCGGCTAGGACAGGCTAGTGGGCCGAGCGCTGCGGCCATGGGTTAGGTTAGTTAAGACACTTTCTGGGCCAAGCGCTGCGGCTAGATTAAATATAAATTGTGAAACATTTTTTCAAATTTGATATTTTGGAGTTTGTATTTAAGAAGTTTTTATTTTCAGGAGTTTGTCTCGTCCGGAGTTTGTCTCGTCAGGAGTTTGTCTCGTTAGGAGTTTGTCTTTCAGGAGTTTGTCTTTTTCGGAGTTTGTCTTTCCGGAGTTTGTCTTTCAGGAGTTTGTCTTTCCGGAGTTTGTCACGGCGCCGTGTCCTACAGAGTTTAATCTTGGTTTATAGTGTCCTACAGAGTTTAATCTTGTTTTATAGTGTCCTACAGAGTTAAATCTTGTTTTATAGTGTCCTACAGAGTTTAATCTTGTTTTATTGTGTCCTACAGAGTTTAATCTTGGTTTATAGTGTCCTACAGAGTTTGCCATCCAAGTTCTAAATATTTTCATTTTCATTAAAAAAAAGTAAATATATGACTTTAAGTTGAAAAGGTCCTAAGTACGTCGAATTAAATTGTCGAAATTGTATCTAATTTTTCACTTTTTTATGCTTATTTTGAATTTACGAAAACCTTTATTAAATTAAGGTTTATGTCTATTCTTATTCACAATATTTGCACTATTGCAACAAGAAACCTGAAAGTGTCCTGGGCTTCTGGGACTGTCCCAATTTGAATACACCACCAATCATTTTGCCGATTTTTTGTTTTAAACTTTATGATGCTAAATTCCCTGAACACAATCCAAAGATAGATTATGGTTTATGAAAACTTAAATTATCTTCTCAGAGTTCTTATTTACATAAAAATATCTAGATACACATTCTACATCTTACCTTTCATATTTATTATATTCTAGCTGAAGGGCCCGGCGTTGCCCGTGAAGAAAATTTGGGGGAAAAAAATGTTGAAAAAAAAATTCAGCAAAATCGGTCCAGCCGTTTGGCCGGCTATAGACAACATATAAACATATATATATATATATATATATATATATACGAATGTCTTGTTTTATCATATAGAAGATATACATGGTGACGAATAAAATTGGGACTAGAAATATTTTTGTGAACTTCTCATATATGGTATATTTCTGTTAGTTAAAAAAAATAATTATTTCACACATGGGCATGGCCAAGAAAAAATCCGCAAGATTTTTGTTCCTCAAATTTTAAAAGAATATTCTTCTCTATAAGTGAACATTCCCTTTCGGTAAAACTTTGTTCGTTAAAAAGTTCTCACATAATATATAATTGATAAAGTAAAATAAAAATAATTTCAATAAACCCAGGGCTTGGCACGTTTATATTTTTTCTGTCTTTTACCAACATTATCGATTTCGCGACAAAGTTTGCGTGCAAAACATCCCTCGCTGCACTCTAGATGTTTTCTATGCAAAGGAATTGAGTCTTTGTCACAAAATCAAATTTTCTAATTTCTATATCTTGGCAACCTGATAGTGTAAACCTTTGATATTTCAAACTTTGATAATTTGATTTAACCAAATCAATAGTTTGAAATATCTAAGGTTTACGACATTGGGTTGTTAAGATATAGCGATTAGAAAATCAGAGTTTGTAGCAAAGACTCAATTCCTTTGGTCTTGAGAACTCTTTGTAAAGTAAAATTCCTTTAACTTTTCTGTAAAGTAGTTGTAAATAATTAAAACTGTCTCTTCGGACAATTAAGCAAAATAACATCCCGCGTTTTTATTCAATAAGACGATAAACCATACTTTGGGAAATACAAAATTTTACTTAACCACGGGTTCACTCGACCAATTTTGCTTATAACCCTTGGTAAAGTAATATTCTGTTAACCCTAAACAGGCGGGGGGTGGGGGGGGGTCCCTAGTTTTTTACTTTTCATGAAGGGTTTTAAAAAATCTAAAATAGTTAAAGAATTCACCGTTGATTCCTAACTATACGTGAAACGTACGCTAAAGTTATTTTCATAATAATTTAGAATTATCGGGAAAATTTATTTGAAATATTTGAAAATACTAATTTGAAATAATAATCAAAAAAATACAAGCTGTATAAATATGCCGTACATTTTCAGCTTATTTTTAGTAAGTTTTGTTTTTAAACATGAAAGACATATTCTCCATTAGTTTATCCGCCAAGCAAGAGTAAGTTGGTTCAAGTTAGAAGTAAAAGTAAAAATAAAGGTAAAAATTACTTTTTATATTTTCCTTCTTTAAGAAACCAATTTTGTTTATAGGAAAAGGGAGGGAAGGGATGACAAATCGAATTTTTGAATATCACCATTTGAAAATTGGATGGGGCATAAAAAATGAAATCTGTAGAGAATCATTTGGTCGAACACGGGCAGCCGTAGTATAATTGAATTTCCGATCCGGGTCAACCTTTCGGGCTCCATTTGGTACTGTATCGCACGGACATTGGGTTAATAAAGAAGACAATCAACAGGACTAGCCAGTGCAACAAGGTTGACGCGGTCAGACTTTATGCTTCATATAGGTTGAATTTACTTTTCCTAAATGGGCAGAGGTGCGTGCGAACATATTTCTTAAAAAAAAATGAAATCAATTTTTATGCAAACTTTGGTATTTGAGAATTTAAAATCTCAGACTTCTATTTAAATGCATTAGACTGTCTGATTCATCAAAGAAAAAAAACAGCGTTGAACTTTATGTTTATTTATATTTTATATTATACAGGGTTACCTATTTACGATGAGAATTTTCTCACAATTGCTCGTATGTTTGAAAATTTGAAACCCTAGGATTTGTTTTTACCTTTTAAACAACTTTAGTTATAAAGACAGTTATTTGTTTTTATATACAATACATAGCTTTACAAGGGAGGATTAAAAAACAGCTAACCTTTTTTTCGGATTTTTTTCTCTCATCCAAATATTTTGGTAGTTTGTTTGCACTTTCATGAACACGCACTTTAATAGACTAAATGTACTTATACTTCAAAGTACTATATGTACTTATACTTCAAAGTACTATATATATGTACTTATACTTCCGTGTACTATTTATTTTCATATTTAAACATTGTACTCTTACACTTTCCTTATCGGTTAGTTTGAAATTTCAAACTAACGAAAGCATATTGTTAAAATATTGTTCAAATCCCTCACATTGTCTTCGTCATTTTAAAGTTTCATAATTTGTACTTTTCTAAAAATTAATCTATTTCAAGTGACCCTCCGTGCTAAGAAGGCAATGACCGATTCACAACTGTAACTTTAAAACATTTAACTGTTCTGAAAGCTCTGTGTTTAAATCTCTTGAAAACCGCTTAAATTCCTCTAAAACTTGGTGTAATACCTGGCGTTACAGCGTGAACTTAAAACAGCTGATCCGTTACTTTTATCCCTTAACATTACCAAGTATTTCATATTAAAAGTGGTTTCCAAAATTTTGTAAATTTTTTAAAATTTTCTAGTAAATAATATTAATATATTTAAAACTTAAAACAGCTTGAAAAAAACAAAGTATTTATCAATTAAAAGCGTTTTTGTAGATTAATAAAAGTAAACCTGACATGCTTCATCATTCAAAAGTTCAAGGGTACTGTTGTTAATCGGACATTGTCATCTTTGCATGGAGGGTCACTTGAAATTACGCGTACAGTCCCTTTAGTTCATTAATTTAACTCTTTTAAATGTTTAGTATTTGTGTAACAGTAGTGGTGCTAAACGTTCATTTCCGTTCCCCGCAGACCCATCGAATGGCCCCGTGGGTTAAACGGGTTTTTGTTCATATTCTTCCCCGGCTTCTCATCATGAAGAGACCGCAGTTTCAACCTGATAAACAAACGTAAGTTCTTTAAATAAAAGACATTAAGTCTTTGCCACAAAGTTTGATTTCTAGTCCCTATATCTTTGCAACCCATGGGTGTCGTGACCTTAGATATTTTAAACTAAGAACTTTGTTAGATCAAATAGTGTAAGTTTATAAATATCATAGGTTTTACCATCAGGATGCAAAAAAAATTGGGATTAGAAAAATTAAAACTGAATTCATGAATAAAACACATCAAATTAAGTTATTAGAAAAAAGAGAAAAAACATGCCTTACCCGTTAGGGTTAAATTTAATAACAAGCCAACTAACCAGCTGCAGTTGTGAATAAATATTTAAATATCTAGATTTTATTGTTTAATGAAGTTTTCCATCTAAAAATTATACTTTATTCTCTGAATACATCATGAAAAATAACGACAATCAAATAAAGACAAAAAAGATCAAAAGGTCAAAATATACAAGAAACCACTAAAAAGAACGGGCCCGCAAAGAGACTACAAAGAACGAGCCCACAAAGAGACTACAAAGAATGGGCCCGCAAAGAGACTACAAAGAACGGGCCCTTAAAGAGACTACAAAGAATGGGCCCTTAATGAGACTACAAAGAACGGGCCTGAAAGAGACTACAAAGAAACGGCCCACAAAGAGACTACAAAGAATGGGCCCGCAAAGAGACTACAAAGAACGGGCCCACAATGAGACTACAAAGAACGGGCTCACAAAGAGACAACAGAGAACGGGCCCGCAAAAAGACCACAAAGAACGGGCCCACAAAGATACTACAAAGAACGGTCCCGCGAAAAGACTACAAAGAACGGGCCCACAACGAGACAACAAAGAACGGGCCTGCAAAGAGACTACAAAGAACGGGCTCACAAATAGACTACAAAGAATGGGCCTGCAAAGAGACTACAAAGAACGGGCCACGAAGAGACTACAAAGAACGGGCCCACAAATAGACTACAAAAAACGGGCCCACAAAGAGACAAAAAAGAACGGGCCTGCAAAGAGACTACAAAGATCGGGCCCACAAAGAGACTACAAAGAACGGGCCCGCAAAGAGACTACAAAGAACGTGCCTGAAAGAGACTACAAAGAACTGCCCCGCAAAGAGACTACAAAGAACGGGCCTAAAAGACACTTCAAAGGAACGGGCCTTCAAAGAGACTACAAAGTCCCTTTGCAGTCCCTTTAAGAGTTCGATAAAGCTATAGTAAACTAGATAAGAAAGAAAATGAAAATGAAAATAGAAAATAAATCAACTTGTTTCTATTGAAAGAACGATATATTAGCAAGGACAAGAACAATAAACAATGGATTTTAGTGACTAATCTTTGATCTTTATCAAAAGCTTTATGATCATTGAAGGTAAATGGATTTATGATAATATTTAAAGGATCAATGATAGTAGAAGGATTCATAATCCCTGATGGGTAAACTATTCATGATCAAGAATTCTTAATCAATGATGATCAAAGGATTTATGATCAAGGATGGTTATAGGATTTACAATCAATGATAGTTAGTTATTAATGTGAGTTTAAAAAATTCATAATTAAGTTAAGCGATTCATGATCAATGAGAGTTATAGGATTCACAATCAAGGATAGTCAAAGGATTTAAGATATAGGATAGTTAAAGGATTCTTAATCATCGACAGTTAAAGCATTCATGAGCCATGATAGTCAAAGGATTCATTAGTAATGATAGTTCATGATCAAGGATAGTTAAAAATCATAATCAAGGATAGTCAAAGGATTTTTGATATAGGATAGTTAAATGATTCATGATCATTGATCAATGATAGTTAATGGATTCATGATCATTGATCAAGGATAGTTAAAGAATTCATGATGAAGTTATAAGCGATTCATAATCAAGGATAGTTAAAGGATTCTTAGTCCATAATAATTAAAGAATTCATGTTCAAGGATATTATAAGAATTCATGATCTATAATAGTTAAAGAATTTATAATCAAGGATAGAAAAAGAACAAGGATTTAAAGTTGTCACCGTCTAGGGACTAGGGAGACATAGTTTATCATTGGAGACAGGAGAATGGGGGTTGCAGGTATAAAGAAGTTGTAAAATATACTTTCAGAGAAAAGAAATAAAAGTCTTCGCCCCTCACTCCCCTCAGCCCGCCCCCCCCCCTAAAAACTCCTTAGGGTAAAGATATGGAGTCATGGTTAATAGCCCAATTTTTTCAGGCCAGCTAATCAAAAAAAATAGACTGCTAACTTGAACGGTTCGGTTGCTAAGAATAAATTACAAAAATAAGTTAGACAAATGTTTAAAAACCAAAAAGGTGTTGCATTATTTTAAATTATGTTAATTTTAGAATTGTAGCTTAAACAAAAAATAAATGTTTATTTTATTTTATTAAGGAATATTCTTAGCGCGCGGGTAAAACGGCGGGAGTCACTATGAAGCAGGGGTGAAAAAGTTTTTTAATTCCAAAGAATATTTATATTTTGCATTTCAATAATCCCTTTGAGAAAGAGAAGTAAAATAAAGTATTAATGTTCAAAAAAAAGAACCAACAACAGTCTAAATATTGTCTAATGAGGCGAACAAGCTGAAGTATTTCTTGCTGTGGAATTCAGGGTGGGAGAGAGGGGAGAAAAGAAGAAAGAAATCAACTGTAAAGAAAAGGGTTATTCATTGAAGGAGTATTAAAGAGAGAGGAGGAGGTCAAGGGAGGTTCAATAGTTAGAAGTTAGGAGTGGGGTTTACAGAACTTTACAGATAGGAAAGGATTACAGAGACAGGAGAAGATTACAGTGACAGGGAATGATTACAGTGACAGGGAAAGATTATAGAGACAGGGAAAGATTACAGAGACAGGGAAAGATTACAGAGACAGGGAAAGGATTACAGTAACAGGGAAAGATTACAGAGACAAGGAAAGATTACAGAGACAGGGAAAGATTACAGAGACAGGGAAGGTTACAGGGACATGGAAAAGACAAGGAAAGTTTACAAAGACAGGAAAGGATTACATAGATAGGAAAGGAATTCAGAGAAAGGGAATGATTATAGGAGAGGAGGAAGGCCAGCCACAACAATTTCTAGTCCGAGGCACTTTCTCTTCATTTTTTCGTTCCAGCCACCTCTAAATCCTCGTTCTTCTAATCTAATTTTTGCTCTCAAACCCGTATCTATACAGGCACAATTCAGTTTCACTATGTCTGAACCCGGACACAATCAATGTCAACCAGGACATGAACTCTTAACCCTATCCCCGCTGGGGTACTTGAAAACCAGGATACGCTGGGGGAGATCAGCTATCAATGTCTAAAACGACACAAGGACGTAACTATCAATGTCTCAACTAGGACACTATCTTGAGCTATCAATGCCTTAACTAGGACATGATTTTGTAAACTATCAATGACTCAACTAGGACACGATCTTGAGCTATCAATGCCTCAACTAGGGCATGATCTCATAAACAATCAATGTCTCAACTAGGACACGATCTTGAGCTATCAATGCCTCAACTATGACATAATCTTGTAAACTATCAATGTCTCAACTAGGACACGATTTTGAGCTATCAATGTCTCAACTAGGACATGATCTTGTAAACTATCAATGTCTCAACTAGGACACGATCTTGAGCTATCAATGCCTCAACTAGGACATGATCTTATAAACTATCAATGTTTCAACTAGGACACGATCTTGAGCTATCAATGCCTCAACTAGGACATGATCTTGTAAACTATCAATGTTTCAACTAGGACACGATATGTGTTACCCGATATTTATTACAGAGGTTTGCCAAATATTTTGCTGGTTATTTCATATCACTAAGGTTAGCCCTTACGGAGGCAGAAGAGATTTAAGTCTTAACTAAATAAAGTTTGACATCATTCTCATAGCTTTAAAAATTTCAACATGATGTACTCATTGCAATACTTTAGTCTGTCAATATCTTATGCCCTAACGTGGCCAGATTAAAAAAAATTTGTATCTAGAATCAGAACTTTAAAACACATAATAATCGAAGGACAAGGATTTCGAGGTGGATCAGATGAGAAAATGACTATGAGGATAATGTGGCTTTGACGAGAAATTGTTGTGGCTGGCCTTCCTCCCCTCATTACAGAGCGATAGGAAAGGGTTACAGAGAAAGGAAAGGATTATAGAGATAGGAAAGAATTACATAGATAGGAAAGGATTTGAGAGAAATGAAAGGGTTACAGAGAAAGGAAAGGATTACAGAGAAAGGAAAGGAATACAGAGATAGGAAAGGGTTACAGAGGCATGAAAGGAGTACATAGACATGAAAGTATTACAAAGATTGGAAAGGATTACAGGGAAAGGATAACAGAGATAGGAAAGTATGAAAGAGACAGAAAATGATTACATAGAAAGGAAAGAATTACATAGATAAGAAAGGATGGCAGAGATAGGAAAGGCTTATATAGAAAGGAAAGAATTACAGAAATGGGAAAGGATTATATAAAAAAGGAAAGGATTACATAGATAGGAAAGGATTACAGAGATAAGAAAGGGTTACAGAGAAAGAAAAGGATTATAGAGACAGGAAAGAATTACATAGATAGGAAAGGATTTTAGAGAAATGAAAGGGTTACAGAGAAAGGAAAGAAATACAGAGATATGAAAGGGTTACAGAGGCATGAAAGTATTACTAAGAAAGGAAAGAATTACAGAGATGGGAAAGGATTACTGAGATAGGAAACGAATACAGCGATAGGAAAGGATTACTGAGATAGGAAAGGATCACGGAGAAAGGAAAGAATTATAGAAAAAGGGAAGGATTACAGAGAAAGGAAAGAATAAAAGAAATAAACAGAGATTTGATAGGTAGAAAGAAGGAAGGGAATTAATTTTGGACAAATATTTCACAATCTAGGGGGTAGGGGTCTCTGCACCCGAAGCCCGACAATTTACGCCCTTGAATATATAGGTGCATTTTCGGTTTCTGTCAACAGTAATGCTTTTCAAAATATCTTCTCCCTCTACTTTGGTGGATACTAAACACTGGATATTTATAGTTCCTGGTTTCAGAATATCCTCTCTAGTGTTATAGTGGATATTCAACACTGAATATTTCTTGTTTCTTGTTTGAAATATCCATCCCCTGTATGGTGGATACTAAACACTGATATTTATATTTTCTGGTTTGAAATATCCTCTCCTGCACAGATATTTGGGTTGATTCTGGAGCCAAAAATATGAGCTTTTAAAATAGAATGTAATTTTTTTAAATGGTTAAATGAGAGCTTTTGTAAGAAAATAATATGTATATAGCAAAGAGTAGCCTCAAAACATGCCTTAGATGGATGATTTTTATATTTCACGGATAACGCCGGGCACTTTAGCTAGTTGTCAATACAATGCACATTTTCTTTTATAATGGCTTCAATTAGAATAAATCCCTTAAAGGGGTTGTACAGTAACACAGTTAAACCCTAAATACATCAAAAGAATTCAGCAAATGTCGTATTCTTTCCTTTCTGATAATGGAATGTTGCAGATATTTAGTTTTTAATTAAACGATTATATGGAGCGTTTTAAAACTGTTCCCGCATATTTATGGCTATTATCTATTTTCGCAATTACTAAGATTTACGCAAAATAGTATAAAACCCATTGAAATATTGTCAAGACGACATTTCATAAATTCGTTCGATGTATTTAATATTTAGGGTTTAACTGTAGAAGTAAAATTTAATGTGGCTCAGCATTTATTGAGTTATATGGCCGATTCACACAGGTGTCCTTTAAACATTTATCAGATTAATAATGAGGAAGTTAAAGGTTCGTTTTTCTATCAATTAAAGTGTTAAATTCTAACAAACTCCTCCATTGTGTACTGCTGAATACACCCGCAAGTCATTTTACTTAATTTGAAACCAGACAGCTTGATATCTACGTATCTACGTCATTAGTCGTGTCATCAGATAATGGTTTTAAGGGTACCGATGATAATTGGACATGCCACTCTGTAAAGGTAGAGTCGAATGAAATTAGGTCCCTTTAAAAATGCAAAATTCTTATCGGAGAACAGTTTTCCCTGAGATTGTTCCGGAGTTTTCTCTCAAGTTGTGTATTTGGGTTATTTCTGTTTTCTTGTTTGCTCTGGGAGGATATTGAGTCCTAGAAGCGGGGGGTTGGGGGTTGGAAAGGGGTAAGGGAGAGGAGGGAGGGGAGGCCAAGCTTTCATCCTCAACTATTAAACAAAAATGAATTTTAAGTCAGAAGTTAAACAAAAGAAAACATCTAAAATTATACCTTATAGTATATATATTCATTACATAAAGGTTCATAAATACATTTTTGGGAGCTTTAAAGTTACAAAAAGTTAAAAAAAAATTGTAAAACATAATTTAACATTAATCATTTGTTTTTGATTTGCATAAACCTATATATTGCACACAGTGTACTGTATGCATTAGTTTCTGAACTATGCATAAACTTTTCCTTCCTTAGTAGTTAGTAAACATTGGTTTCATTCATCTAAACCAACTTGTAAACAGAATTCGAGATAGGAAAAAATACAGAAGATAGATAGATAGATAGATAGATAGATAGATAGATAGATAGATAGATAGATAGATAGATAGATAGATAGATAGATAGATAGATAGATAGATAGTCATATTTTAGGAAATATAACATTTTATAAAAATATCATCATATGTTTTTTCTGACAGTGTGTAAAACCCAATTAACGCTTTGATGTTGAAAATGTTTTAAAGTGCTTCTTAATTTAGTATTTTAACATTTACTATAATTAGATATCACTAAATATCTAAAAATAATAAAGAATGAAGACTAACTATAATTAGGAAAGCTTAAAGTAGATTAATGTTCAAACAAACAATCAAGGGACAGGGTGGGAGGAAAGTAAACAAATAATTTAGGGTGGGAGGAAAGTAAAAAAAAATGTGATACCTTGTGAAGTGGAAGGAATGTAAACAATGTGTAGAGAAATAAGTTTAATTTTTAATTTTCTCCTCAATATATCTTTGCAACCTCTTATCTTACAGAATTTTTAGTTTGAATTAGATATATCAAGTATTTCAATTGAAACTGTTTCTATGCCTTAAACTCAAATTTTCTTAATTCTATATCCTTGCAACCTGATGGTGTGAGTTTTAATCATTATTATTATAAACTTAGATTATTTGATCTAACAGAATTCATGAGTTTAAAATATCTAAAATATGACATTCGGTTGCAAAGATATAAGGATTAAAACATCAAAGTTTGTTTCGGAGACTCTGTTCCTTTTTAGTATTACTTCCTTTTCAATCCTAACGATACAGATAATGACGTAAATATTTGTCTAATATTTATTTATGAATTTATTGTGTAAAAAAATGGATCTATTTCAATCATTGTGCACATTATATATATATATGTATAAATATATGTTTATTTCACTATATTGAAAGATAAAAATGTCTTATTTTTCAAAATTTAATTCTTGATAAATCCAATTTAATTCAATTTCAAGTTTATAAGATTCAGTAAATTATTGAGAAGTGTTTTGGAAAGTATATAAATAATTAAAGATGTAGACCCTAAACTTTAAAATCTTTAAAGTTGGAACACTTTTTATCAAAATCTCCGCAATACTGTAGGTAATCAGACTTGGAATAATTGAGGGGTGGAATACAACAATATTTTTACTAAGTTTTCAAGATCGCCATTTATTACTTGCAGAGTACTTTCTTCATTCAAATGAAAATGTATTCATTCCTTAATGAGATTTTTAGAAAATAAAAATAATATCTTTTTATTTGACATTTTACCGTCCTGAGTTTGAATGAGATGTTTATTAGACAGATATGTTGACAGGTGTATACAAGATAAAAATAGAGAGGAAAAAAAACAGCCTTTCTTTGTAAAATTAAGAAAAATAATCTTTTTAGCAAAGCAAAACACCTCTGGGGCCATGACTGGTTCCTTATTCTTATATTTAGCTCTGGTTCTTGTTCGGTTTATAGAGAACAGCTGTGTTAGACAATCTAAGAGTTAAACAATTTTTAAGTTATAAAATCTTTAACTTAGAAAATCTTTAGGTTAGAAAATCTTTAAGTTAACAATATTTAAGTTAGACAATCTTTAAGTTAGACACTTTTTGCATCAGGAAGATCTTTGAGTTAAAAATCTTTAAGTTAGACAATCTGTGAGTTAAAAAATCTTTAAGTTAGAAAATCTTTGAATTAGACAATTGTTTAAGTTAAACAATCTTTAAGTTAGACACTCTTCAAGTTAGACAATGTTTAAGTTAGAAAACCTTTAAGTTAGAAAACCTTTAAGTTAGACAATCTTTAAGGTAGATAAGTAAACCATCTTTAAGTTAGACAGACAGACAATTTTTGATAGAAAAAATATAGACAATCTTTGAGTTAAACACACAAACAAAGTTTTACTTACATTTCAAACATTAAGTTAGACAGACAAAAATACAGAAAAAGCAATGCAATTTGTCTATTGAGATTGTTCAATACTTTTTGCCAAAACTAAAACAAATAACAAATATATTCGCATATTTGAAATATCATGGACTAAGGCTTATCAAACAAATATATTGCATAGAATTTCGTGATGCGAATTTGTTTAGCAACTCAGAAAAACAACATTAGCCTTTCAAGATATTGTAGTTTTTCAAACTTGAAAAGTGTAAAATTCCAACAGTTTATCCCAAAATTTACTTCCACAGTTGAAAATAATTAATTTTTAAAGAGGAAATTAAAGATATCTCATGCGTTATTGATCAGACCACGCTTGCATATCACCAACAAATAATTACAGTTACGTCATATGGATAGACGTAGATATAAGTGATTTTTTTACATCACTAGAGCGTTTTATTCACAAGGTTACCCTTCAAATGTAAATCCACGGCGCAGATATGATTTCCTTTTTTCTAACGTTTATTTTTTATTTTTGTTCAGATCCCTGAGGAAGGTGATGTTGAACACGTGTATAAGCACAGATCCCAACTATATAAAAGACTATCCTCGGTATGCCGAGAGTAAGATACCGTTTCAGAACGGTAACGGTGATATCTTCCACGGTTCAGGTGGAGCTGAACTCAAGGAGGCGCTTAGTGAACTCCTGCCTGAGGAGATACCTGGACTACCCAGGCATAGACCTGGAGAATTCTCTCCAAGGTAAGGTTTTATCAATAGAAATTCACGAAGTTTCCTGCGACTCTCACCTCAAATCAGAACTTTTATGTTTGAAATTAAGAGATTAAGCACTAATCTCAATCTGATCTAGATTAATCTAATTTCTTTCTGATATCCCGTGGTGGTCATATCCTTCAGGAATAACTTTAATTGAGTGATCAAGCATTAATTTTTAAACTTAAAAGAGCTCACATTGAATATCAAGATAAATAAAACAAAATGAGCAAAAGTTATGAAAAATGGAAGTTTTCCTTCCTTGGGGCGTTTTTACTAATTTGAGAAAATGTTTAATCACTTTATTATCCTTTGAATCGGAAACTAATAAAAGAATATATATGTAGCCATGAGCTCTAGAAAAGGATATTCAAAAAACCCATGCTCCTATTACGGTGATTACAATTGGAAATGAAAGTTGAGTTTTCTAATCTAAAAAATAGGAAAGATTTAAAATCCACTCACTAATATTAAAATAAATGGTTAATAATATGATAATACTCTCCCCTTCCCCTACTCCCCTAACGCTCACCTACCCCTTCCCTAAAAAAAATTGTGCTTTTTAGTCTCAAAAGACGATAAAAATATTGTAAACTACTTTATCTGGATATCAAAGATTTCAATCAACCACTGGTTCCTTAAACTTCCCTGTAAAGTAGTTGTAAAAATAAATAAATCAGTGATAAAATTAATAATAAAAAAACAAGTTTAAAAAGCCGGTTGAAAAATTTCCAGTCTCTGATCTAAACTCGACCAAGGTTCCTATATTTTCTAAACTCTGTCCTTTCTAATGGTTTTCATCTTTGGTAATGGTGAACTTAATGGAAATCAAATGAGATCTTTATTTAAACTCACAAATCTGTCAAAATAATCTTTTTGTTTAAATTCTAAACAAAAATATTTGATTTCACTGCTTTTTAATCTTTTAAACTAATTTTCAACAAACTTTCTTTTTGATGCTGTTATATTCAGAAAAGTTTAATAGAATACACATCCTAGGGCATTTAGAGTTCGGACTAAACTAAACCATGGTTTAGTTCTTAGTCCACCATTTTATATCTTGATCAATGCACTGTACAAATTCTTTCAAATGATCTTTTATATCAAGAATCTCATGTCCAATTCACAAACCGTACCCTGTAACCTTTAGCTGAGTAACAATGAGGATGATATTGCGTTTTTCGTTTTCATTTTTGTTTTGCAAAAATCTGGCAGTTCCTTATGATTGTGTCTACAATGTCGATCTATACTTCAGCAAATGTCTGTGTTGTCTAACTATCAGACTAACAAACACCTAGAAAATTACTATATATTATATATATAGATAGTGGATAAAGGTTTCTAGTAAACTTGTAAAACCGACCTGAATACTAAACCTATCTGTTAACAAGGAAAACTACTATATATTATATATATAGATATATAGAGAGTGGATAAAGGTTTCTAGTAATCTTGTAAACCCGACCTGAATACTAAACCTATCTGTTAACAAGGAACACGTACTCTTCAAAACTTTTCTTTAGAATAAATCAAATTATTGAGTTTGACAATAACATTCTATTTTACAAATGAATGATGTATGGATATTTTTAAAGTTTTCTATAATGCTTTTGTCGACAAGACCTGCATAATGAATAAGAGTTAAGCTGAGATTTTAAAACCGTAAACCCGAGTAGAACCCGGCCGGTCTATTTAAGCCCAAGTTAAGCTCAAGCCAAGACTCGAATTTAGTTGGACTTGGGTTTCGTAAAAAATTGCAAAATCATTTCTTTTAGTTTCATAAAATTGCAACTTTTCCTAGATTGCACAATTTAGTTATTTTCCTTCTCTTTGATAATTTTGATTATTCCTGTGATAAATGCTCAGAAAATTCTCGAAATATTCAGAAATTGTGATTTTTGTAAAAAAACTGCAATATTAGGCATTTGTTGTAAAAAGTACTCCAAACATCGTATTCATAATATCCAACTTATCAAAGCTTTCCGAAATTGCTAACATAATGTTCGACACAACGGAAAGATTGTTAGATGTGTTAAAAAAAAAACTAAACACTCTCTACAATTATATAATCACTGTATCTTTGCATTCTGTTATCGTAGATCTTGGATATTTAGTTAGACTAATAATCAGTTCATAATAAAATTTAGGTTTATATGTAAATTATCAAAAAACTAGCCTTTGAAAAAATGCACAACTATTGCTATGCAATACATGCGATAAGTTTTTGGGATGAGACGCAAAATTTGTATTTTTCTTCCGGCAGTGGAAAATAATTTGTTGTCCTACCTGTACGATTTTTTGTTTTTATATTTTATTATTTAATGGCTGACACATAATGTCATTAAAATATGAAAATTTTAGATTTTATTGGACTGTTGTTACTAAAAAAACGTTAAAAAAGTGTCTATGCAAAGGTATCATACCTTTGCGCTGGAATTCTAAACGATAAATCGGATATTTGAAAAGTAAGAAATTACCTAAATTAACCAAATGAGTGAACGGTCCCCTTAACAAATTAGCATTGTTGGCCCGGCAAGTTCCTTGTTTAATAAATATGGTACGTAATTATAAATAAAATAATCGAGATAAAGAATAAAATATTTGATCAGCCTATTTATCTTTATGTTTGATCTGTTCTGAAAGCGTGAGAGTTTTATATCTTTAGAAAACCTGGTAAGCTGCCAAACTTGAAGCCAAATCCTAGAATCTAATCGAGCTGCAGATCTGCATTCTGCATCCATGCAACCTGTTAAATAAACAAGGGACTGCAGACTAGACTCAAAGTCCCCAAAAGTACCCTTTATGGGAGTGTGCATGCCTGATTCACAACGGAAACCTTGAAACTTAAATCTGATCAATGATTTGGAATATAACGTAGTTTTTTCCAGCTTGAAAATTGCTCAATTCTGATTTAAAGCTTTTAAGGATACTGTTGTGAATCGAACAAGTTCATATGGGGGGTCACTTAAGGTTTTTCTGAATATGTATTAATAAATTAATTGATTTTAATTGCGGTTTATGCCTAAAAACGATACGTCAGGAATTAACAAATTCAAAACTTTAAAGATAGAAAAACCAATGATCTATATCTATTTCCATATATATGTATACTTTGCTTGTCTGTCCGTTTGTTTCCAATAAACGTCAAAACAGCCGAACCGATCGGATCCAAAATTGTTCAGACAATTCACATCACCCAAGGAAGGTTTATGGATGCTCAAAATATTTCGATTTCGTAAAATTTAAAAATCCACGAAAAAAATATGATTAAATCTGAGAACTTTGTTGTTATTGTTAAAAATGTATAAAAAGAGAAGATGCACACAGATAGAGCCATACTTATACGTTTAAATAGAAGATGGTCGCCAAGCCTAGTTTTTTAAATGGAAGGTCACTTGAAATTACATGGATAGACCCTTAAAATCTCCAACTGTGAACTTTGCATTCTGTGATTAGCTCGTAAAGAAGAAAAAACGCCCCATCATTTGCAATTTAGATGCTAAAATGTCTTCTCATGATTAGGCTTTTCTTGTAGGTTATATAATAGAGGAGTACAGTTGAAGTACACACATTTTTATATACATATTTTTAATAAGATAGCGCATATCTTCAACGCTTAAACTTGATACACAGCAATATTTTAAGCGACTAAAGCATATACAAGCGAATTTTTTAACCTGTGAAAACAGCTGGCTGAATTGGCGGATTTTTTGGTCGGACCTTTTCAAAGGAATTAACGTATCCGGCAGACAAGGGCCGTCACTGAGGGGGAGCTGGGGCGCACGTCCTCCCCTGTGTTCCTACAAGAGGGGGAACTGTTGGAAATCGAAAATAGCCAGACAATGTTTGGAGTTTTATGAATTAAGAATGAGAAATAAAATTACGCATAGCCACATGTATTAGACGAATTTCTTTCCTTGTCTCTGCTTTATAAATTTGCTGGAGACTTCAATAGAGAACTGCAGTTGAAAATTCTTGGATAGAAGAACTGAATAACTCCCTAAAATGTTCTCTAGCAAAAAATAAAAGGAACTGTTTTAAAATAAAGGGAAATTGAAATGGGAAATCACGCCGATCGTCCCATAATACAGATGATCCGTAGATCCGTAGGACACTTTTTCAAAATATTTAAAACAAGATAGAAGTTCAATAGATACATGCTGACAAGTTGCCCCATCATTCAACAATTATTTAACAAAATCTGCCCTGTTTCATTTTGCAAATCTTAGACTAGATTTTTTTTTTTACTTTTTTACATTTATGTATTATGCGGGACAACTACACATCACAAATAAAGCAGACTTGCATTGAAATCGGGTTCCGAACTTTAACAATTTTTATGGAATCGTGAAGTTTCACTAAATTTACTTACTCCAGTTGTAAACTTAGGGAAACTATAAAAATGTCATTTTTCAGATCTGCCAGCCTAAAATTGGACTCATTGAATCGGAAATTGTACGTAGTTACCTTGAAAATCCGATTATAAATGTGTCTGTTGACCTGTGTTCCCCACTTTTTTTAGACACCCTGTACATTTCTAATATCTAACATCTAGAGCAAACTTTTATTAGATACATTAATATTATATCGTTAAAAAATAAGAAGGTGAGAAAAAACAGCTGCTTCTGATAAGAATAAGAAGAAAGATATATAATATATATATGATAATATAGTGTACTTGTGTACTATCATATCAGAATGTAATGCACTTGTGTATTAGTAAATGAGAATATAATAAGATAAAAAATAATAAGAATTTTATTTTTTTCCATTAGTGAGTCAATGGAAGTATAGTTCAACCTGAAAATGTATTATTGATCGATCTATCATTTCTTTTTTATATAAAAGAAATAACTGAATGCAATAACTGAATGCACATTTATAGTAAACAGAAATATATATATTCACATTTTTAGTATTTAGTATTTACTCTGGGTTTATATGCAATTCTACGAATAAAGAGTTGCACAGTAGTCGAGCAAGATATTTTTATAAATACACAAATATTAGAATATTTATTTATATAAATAAACAAATATTATAATATTTATTTTTATAAATAAAGAAATTTCAGAATATGTATTATATAAATAAACAAATATAAGAATATATATTCTTATAAATAAAGAAATATCAGAATACATACATATTTATAGTTCTAATCCAAGACCTGGAACCGGCCCCTAAACAACATTTCTTTGTTCTTATTGTATTATTTTCTTTATTTATAAAGAATAAATTAAGTGGAACACTGCCACAGTTTTTCATCAAAGGGTATACAATTATTAGTACAGTGTTAATCAAATATCCAGATTTGTTTAAGTCATGAAGCCTTCAGTTTCGATAGTTTGCAATAAAACTAGATATTTCAACCTTAAATATTTCAAACTTTGAATTATGTAAGATCAAACAATCCAAGTGTGAAATGTCAAAAGTTTACATCATCAGTGATGAGATTTTAAAAGCTTAAACCCAACTAAAACCCAAACTCGGGCTTAGATAGAACCCAAGTCAGGATTGGTTCTGATTCGACCAATGAGAGACTGTTTTGCAAGCTTTCTCTCTGTAGCAGACATAATGCCGGCAGATCAGCTGTGACAAGGAGATGTAAATTTCTAAAGTTCAAACTTTATGTAGATACATTATTTTCATAGTATGTTTATTTTACATAATTAATAAAATTTGACACCAAAAATAATTCCTGAGATTTTAAATAAAAAATATAATAGATTTTACAAAATGTACGATCATTAGCTGCTGAAGACTCGAGCCTTAAAGGGAGAAAAACCCAAGATGGTTGGTTCTTACTAAACTAAAGGAGGCCATCCAAAACCCGGGTCTTGACTTGAGCTTTACTTGGGTCTAAGCAGACGAAAATACCGGGTTTTACCCGGTTTAAGCTTTTAAAATCTCATCTCTGGTTGTTAAGACCAAGGACTCATGGAGTAATGACTACATGGGAGATGGAAACGACGTGGCGCGCCCTACCATATAATTTTATTATACATGCTTTGCAGACGATACTTCATTTGAAAAGAATTTATAAATTAAAAAATTTGTGTCCAAAAGTTTTTGATTTTTGTAAAATATAAGTAAATCCGCGAACTTTTTTTTTATTCGGCGATGGTGATGGACCAAACCTCTGTAGAGGAAAACAGTAGATGTTAGTTCCACATTAATTGAAAATATATTTCGGTCTGGGTTGACCCTCGTCAGTTCTAACGATATAATAACCATCAAAATCGGTAAAAAAAAATAAAAAAATATTTTTTGTTTTTGTTTTTTATTGTACAAAGAAAAAACAATCATAGCTACAATTAAAAATTTAGATGGAAGATGGGTGCAAAGAGCCCTAAAAGGCTCACGTATAAAAGGTAGAATTACAAAAGGTAGAATTACAAAAGGTAGAATGACGAAAGGTAGAATGACAAAAGGTAGAACAATTAAAAGGTAGAACGATCGTTTTTTGACTTTTTTTTGACATTTAAAAAAAAATATAATTTTGAAAATTCTACCTTTAGAACGCTCTACATTTTGTAATTCTACCTTTTGAACGTTCTACCTTTTGATTGTTCTACCTTTTGTCATTCTACCTTTTGTAATTCTACCTTTTGTACTGGAGCCCCCTAAAAGTCTAGTATTGTATATATGTACATACTGTACATATAATGTACATACTGCAACATACTCTGTTTTAAAATTATATTATTGTTTAGGCACTACCACGAGGGAGGATCTCTATATAGCGGATGTGAGCTGCATGGTTGCACGGACCACCATCTACCGGATCATGCAGAGAAGGAAAAGGAACTATCTCCCCCTGCATATTCCCCACCAGATTCCCCTGACTCCAGGTCCCCCCAACGACCTGCCACACCTCCGTATGATCATAGTGGGTGTTCTGCTTTAATGCATAAATCGTGTATCTGTGTTAATTTCATAGCAGAGCACACGAGAGCTAAAGAGGAGGCTACTAAGGTATACATTTCTAGTTGATTTTTGAAATAGTCATAGAAGGACCTTTTAGAATTTTGTATTGAAAAAAATATTCTCCCCTCGCCTTCTCGTTAAAGTGTGATTGCTTACTCATTTTTTATCATTTTTGATTATAGGTAAATCCAATAAATCGCGAAAAATATGATGATAAGTTGCCTCTAAATCAATAAGGCAGCCCTTTGTATTTTTTGTTAGGTAAATTTAGGGTTTTGTATAAAAAGGAAAACTATTTATAATCCTTATTTATCTGCAAACCCAAAATACTTCAATTTTAAGTGTAAAATAAAAAACTGTAATTCCATTTTCTCCTGGAATTTTTAAATTGCGATCTTTTTATATTTTTGACATGATGATTAACAATTTTGACTCTGTTCATTTTATAAAACAAGTAAATTTCCAATATCTCCTTAAAAATGTTCATAATTTTCCGCTATTGCGCATAGTTGAACTTTTTGTATTAAATTTTATTATACTGTCTGTACGTTGTAAACATATAAGAAAACAAACAACATACAAAGAATACAAATATGCTAGTACAAATATGCTAGTACAAATATGCTAGTACAAATTAGGAATTTGACAATATTTAGCACACAGAGACGAATTACATAACTTCAAATTGCAATATTCTAATTTCAGAACATTTAAAAGTTTTACAAAAAAACAAGCCAAAAAAACATTTAAAGAAATTATTCTGAATTATCCTGTTTTTTTCTGAACATTTAGCTCCAATAAGAACTTGGAACCTTATTTACAAAATACAAAATGCGAAAGTTTTTCAAAATCGCATAAAATATTACTGCTAGAAGGATTTTCTAAACACATCCGTTTCCTTCAGAATATAAATATTTGTTCAGTATTAAATTTTTGTATTTTCAGGCAAAAGAAGATTGGAAGTATGTAGCTATGGTGCTAGATCGGCTTTTTCTTTGGATATTTACAATGGCCGTCGTGGTGGGAACCGCCGGTATTATTTTACAAGCTCCAAGCCTTTATGATGATCGAAAGCCGATTGATAAAGAGCTTTCAATTATCGGAATAGTTCAAGGAAGTGGAGAGCAGGAAAGAAATGATGACAAGAAACGTAGAATAACCTGCTAACACGTGCAATAGTGAAATAATGCAGCGTTAATTATTCCTGCTGTGATTATAGCAAAGACGATAATCACACAAAGACAATGCTGCTAAGCTATACAGCCAAATTAAACCATTGAAAAGCACAAACCATTAGTTTTCTCAAATTGTGTCTGATGAATGAAACGGTGCGTATTGATTGAGGTGCCTGGTGTCCTAAGTCTCGTGTTTAATTAATTAAAATCTTAGTTTTTAATTGAACTTTTGAGACACCTTGCTTGGTCTAGAACAATTTTTGTATTTATTATTATTGAATTTTTACTAAAAATCGATTTATTGTACTATGTGTCCAGGTTTATATCGTTTGAAAGGGGCCCTAAATATTGGAATATATACAATCAACACCCCCCCCCCCCACGCCTGTGACACACAATCCCCGTGAAACTTTTTTTTCAAGGTCTCCTTTCAGTTGTACAATCTGTAGAATTTTTTGAATATTTAGTTTAGGAGAATTAGAACAATGTCGTTGTCTTACACGTTTCAAGTTTGATTCGTCTTAAATGGAATTTTGTATCAAGTTGTCAAAATATTATTTGGAAAAACTTAGAAAAACTGCAATCTTTGAATGAAAAAGATATTCTTCTGACAGTATAAATCCTGGCATATTTATTCTTTTTCTAGTATTTTTCGAAAAAAGGTCAATAAGTATTTTCAGCTAATTTCACAAACTATACTTTTACATTTATTGCATTGATTTTTTATTCCATATATCCATCTCCCCTCAAAATACAAGATTTGTATGTAATTGTAAACCAAAGATATTAGGTTGGGAAATTTAGATTTTTATGAATATAAGTAAAAAAAAAATATTTTTACAGGAATATTTTACACTTTCACACAAGAGATTGTATTTTTATAATAATACACGGTAAACTGTAACATTATCTGAGAGTGTAAACTGTAACATTATCATGACAGTGTAAACTGTAACATTATCATGACAGTGTAAACTGTAATATTATCATGACAGTGTAAAATGTAACATTATCATGACAGTGTAAACTGTAACATTATCATGACAGTGTAAACTGTAATAATATCATGACAGCGTAAACTGTAACATTATCATGACAGTGTAAACTGTAATATTATCATGACAGTGTAAAATGTAACATTATCATGATAGTGTAAGCTGTAACATTATCATGACAGTGTAAACTGTAATAATATCATGACAGCGCAAACTGTAACATTATCATGACAGTGTAAACTGTAACATTATCATGACAGTGTAAACCGTAATAATATCATAACAGTATAAACTGTAACATTGTTATCATCAGTTTAGTATTTGTTGCATGAATTTTATGAATTAGTTTCAAATTTATTTGATATAAATAACCAGACAAAAGATTCCACGTTTTATGTCCGAAATTCTGAGGGAAGATCAGTATAGCCCACCCTTTCAGTTCTATAATTGTTTTTTTATCTTCATAATGATGAAACTATGAATACCTTTTGTCTCCTATATTTATCTTTCAATCCGGCCGGGAACTTTGTCAATTCTTAAAATTTCGTAAATTCTGTCATAAACTTTACAATTGTATTATGGATCACAAAAAGAAAAAGAAAAAACTTCAAGAAACATTTTCAAACTTAAATAAGTAAAAAGCTAGATATATTTTTTTCTTCATATATTTGAGTGGTCACAGGCTTGGTTAGGGTTTCTGGGACTTTTGCATATGAACTTTTTCTGAAGCAAGTTATTATGTATTTTTTCCGGATGCCCATCACAAATTCAAAATAATTTCTTCTTTCCCTTCTTCAAAGAAAAATGCACCGATAGAAACTCTAACTTTTTGTTCTAAATATTTAACTTACCTAAAGTTTTTCGAAATAACGAAAACTTAGTTCGGAATTGTGAACAAGGTGTTAGGTATATATATCTCAAATATTCTGTTAATAATTTCAAACAAAATGTTTTTAAATTATAGGTTTAAAACCAAATACGCAGCATGAAATAGTTTTTTGATAGTTTTGCCAATATTTTCCTTTTACTAAAAACTTGGAAAGAAAGTGAAAAGTTGGTAAATTTCTTGAGATGTTATTTAAACAAGTTTTGTTTTGAAAAGTAAGCTTTTATGTGAATACTTTGTTTAAAGTTTGAACAATTTATATATTTACAAACATCATTTGTTCCACATACTTAGGGTTACCCAAGGGTGAACACAATCTTAAACCTCAACCATTTTTTATCATAAAAAAGAGAAGCATCTAGTTTTAAGAAAAAGAAAGAAAAAAAATGTTTAACATTTTTTCGTTTTAAAACAAATAGCAAAAAATACAAAAGAAGGTTGCTGCAAAATAAAAAAAAATCTTATGATTACAAAACTGGTTTCGATTGTTTATCAAAAGGGAATTCGAGAAGTCGTAAACTTGAGTAAACTTGAGTAAACTGTTTGTGTGGAAAACTTAAAATAAGAATTGATGTCCTTAAAGCTGCCAGTTTTCATAAGCTTCACTTAAGTTTATCTTTTACAAAATTCAAGTTTCTGTCTCTGAAAACATTCTGATCATAACTTTGATTGAAAATATTCTAAATTCTCTAAATTAAATACGAAAATTGTTTCTTAATGCTCAATATCTTTGATTTCCAAATTGTCTTTATAAATATTTAACTTATTTTTCATTTACAACTTTTTACCGTTTTCACCATAATTCATCGGTCTCTCGTTTGTCATTTTGAGTTAAATCAATTTTTGCATATTTTCTTATTTTGGTAATTTTTCTCATTTTATCGCTTTAGTTCACTGACCGATATGAGTGTGTAAAAAGTGATTAGTATTCCTGTATAAAATGTTTGCAAGTATTAAGTATTATATTAGATTTATAAAAATTATATTGATAAATGTATTTGCAGACCTAGCTAAGAACATTTGAGCTGATTTGCTTGATTTTAATTTGCTCATTACAATCTTTAAATGCAAAAATACATATTTTGCACGTAGACCATTATTATGAATAAAATTTGATGTGGACTAAAAATGATGAAAGGGGGAGAGGGGGTTTAGTTGTTCTAATTTGTGAGCTACCATTTTGAAACTTCTGACTTAAAAAAATTACATTCTTGCAAAAAAAATATATTGTAAGTAGAAACAGAAAGATTTGTCACATATGAATATATATTCCAAAAAAAAATATATCTTTTACATTTTTAAGTTGCACTTTACTACATTTATATTTAATTTTGTATTCTATTAAAAACCTCTGTTGGGCTTTAAAATTCGCGGTAAAAAAATCCTTCCATTTAATTAGAAATTCGGTCTAGAAAACGTAGATTCTGACCCAAACAAATCAATTCTGTTCTGCCAGATCTCTGAATGCATTTATCTCTTGGATTATAAAATAGTTTAATATTTTGTCTGAATCAGCCAAAAATAAATGCCAGGATATATATTTTATATCCTTTAAACTGTGCAGTTTATTATTGTAATTAATATATATATTATATAGAGACTTAATTGTTAAATAAAGGATTCTATCATTATTTTTTCCCTTTTTAAAGTTTTGGAAAGATTATTTTGCTTCTCCGGATAGTCCATCTTAGAGTTTAGATTGTTTGGAATTTGAAAAAAAAAAGTTTGAACAATATGAGTTATGAAAATATGAATTATGAAAATATGAGTTATGAAAATATGAGTTATGAAAATATGAATTATGAAAATATGAGTAATGAAAATATGAGTAATGAAAATATGAATTATGAAAATATGAGTTACTAGAAATTTAGAGGGCACTTCGCGCCCATCTCCTAAATTAATTGTGAACATGTTCTCTTTGTGTACATCGTAAAACAAAACAAAAATAATTCGCAGATTTTCACAAAAAATTTCGCGGATTTTCAAAATTTTAAAAAATTTAATGACGATCGAATTTTGATAGAGACAAATATTTGAAATTTTGATGATTCATAAACCTTCCCTGGAGTCCCTAGATGTCCCACAAAAAATTTGGGCCCGATCGGTTCAGCCGTTTTGACGTTTATTGGATACAAACACACAGACAAACAGACAAGCCAAATTTATATCTACTAGAAATTCAAGGCGCTTCGCGCCCTTCTTTCTAGGCTTTTAGGGCGCTTCGCGCCCATCTTCTAAATTAATTGTGAACATGTTCTCTTTGTGTACATCGTAAAACAAAACAAAAATAATTCGCAGATTTTCACAAAAAATTTCGCGGATTTTCAAAATTTTAAAAAATTTAATGACGATCGAATTTTGATAGAGACAAATATTTGAAATTTTGATGATTCATAAACCTTCCCTGGAGTCCCTAGATGTCCCACAAAAAATTTGGGCCCGATCGGTTCAGCCGTTTTGACGTTTATTGGATACAAACAAACAGACAGACAGACAGACACCAAGACAGACAAGCCAAATTTATATACCGAACCGAACCGATCGGGCCCAAATTTTTTGTGGGACATCTAGGGACTCCAGGGAAGGTTTATGAATCATCAAAATTTCAAATATTTGTCTCCATCAAAATTCGATCGTCATTAAATTTTTAAAAATTTTGAAAATCCGCGAAATTTTTTTTTGAAAATCCGCGAATTATTTTTATTTTGTTTTACGATGTACACAAAGAGAACATGTTCACAACTAATTTAGAAGGTGGGCGCGAAGCGCCCTCTAATGCTAGTATAGATAAAAATATGAATTATGAAAATATGAGTGATGAAAATAAGTGTTATGAAAATATGAAAAATCTCAATTTTTGTATCACACGAAATAAATATGGCAAATGCCATATTTTAACTTAAAGGAATACAAAAAGTATATTATTAAAACCTCAAATTTTGTACGATAGAACCGTTAGTACCGGCCAAATATAGAGATTGGCATAGTTTGTATAAACGAACGAAATTTGAAATGAACGAAATTTTTCTTGAACGATAATGTCGTTTCGAAATAACGAGCGATGAAAAACGGCTTGAATCGTTTTTAAGAGAAATGAAAAGTCTATCGTTTTTAGAAACGAACAAAAAACAAGAACGAAAGATTTTAAATCGTTCGGATCAACGAAAATTTTAAGAACAAATGAAATCAATTGTGTTTCAGCGATTGAAAAAAACGAACGAAATGAGTCGTTCATGAACGATAAACGAATGAAATAAAGAAAACGAACGCGCCCATCATTATAATGTTTCCAGTGCGGAGGGGGGGGGGGGCTTTGTCCGTTTATCTTTATTCTTATGAAGTCGGCTCAAACGTGTTCTAAATAGATTATCCACGTAAAGAATCTAAAGAAAATTTAATGATTTTAACGAAAAAAAATATGTCCGAGCTCTTAGAGGAAAATAATAATTTGAGCATCGAGTTCTATTCCCTTTATTTCTTAAATTTATGTCTTATAAAGGGACTTTCAACGTTATTTGAAATGACCCTCTATTTACTGAGTTGCACGCCCGATTCACAATGGTAACCTTTAAATCTGAGTAAGGACTATCAAATATCGTCGTTTTTTTAAGAAGAAATTAATGGGCCAATTGTTATGTTTTTCCTGCAGCATTGCATATATCCGAGCAAGTAATTTTCAGAGAGAACAAGTAAGTTAAAAACAAGTAAATTTTACGCCAGAATATACATTTCGTGTTCATAAATCATCTTTTGAAAGACTAAAAGGTTTTTATTTCTAATTTTAGAGGAGTTAAGTTGTCACAAAGTCGTCAGAGTAAATTTGCTTTAATTTTTCCCTTTCAAATTTGTCTACATTAGTGTGATTAATTTTTCTTTAACTTTCTTTTCTTTTCTCTTGTAATCTGTGCTATTTTTAATATTAAAATAAAACGTAAATTATTTTCTTTTCAAAGTTTTAAGTATTTTCTGGAAAGTAAACAATCACTAAACAATGTTGATTATATTTTTATAAGAATTAACTCTATAGTTTATTTTGAAAGAAAACTCGCTGAATCGGAAGAAAATTAATAAATGAAAATTATATTTCTAAATCTCTATAAAATAAAGAGTAAGGGTTTTCTTGGTTTTACACAAAAATAAGATGATGTTCAACCAAGCGTTCAGATTAGAAGGCGTTATTTTAAAAGATATTTATATTTAAATCTATATTAATATATTTATACATTGAATCTGTCAATTGCATTCCTACAGCCTAGAATAACAGAGCTCTGCTAGAAAGCTCTCTGTACTATTTGCAGTGGACGCTGAGAAAGGGGCAAAGTTCTGCTAACAAAACGGAGGTTTTCGAAAACGGAAGAGTCCGTTAACAAACAGCAAAAACTATGGATTTTTAAATCCTTAACGAACCGGATTAGCTGTTTTTGAAGTAAAAATAATGGTTAAAAACATTAAATAAAAACCTAAAACGGCCCTAAACCTCATGCTCAATTAGCTAGCCTCCTTCTTAACTACAGTAGCCATGACTAGGGTACTAAGTCAAGAAATAGGAATAAAAATAGCTACTATGTCTTATTCTAATCCAGTTTTTATATCACTCCAATAAGCCATTGGAGCCCTTTCTGGAAGGGTCCTTACCCTTTTCCCTGAGCACAGCTGTTTAATGGGAACATTTTTCTGCATGCAGCGGTGCACACTAAATTCAATATTTCATAAAGAATTCCGCGGACTGGGAAACAGTATAACATGTGGACAAATGGAGTGTTTTTAACAAAAAATTCCTAATACGCCACTCCTACAAACCCTTATCCCATCTCTACTCTCCTCTACCCACAGAGTGTCCCTCGAAACATGACAGTTGGTAAATAGTTTGGAATGTCTTCTTCCATAATTTGTTTAATTGTTTAATACCAAAGACAATAATAAAAATATTATATAGGAGTCATATTATTGTAAAATTAATTTCAAAGTAAAATATTTTTCAACAAAAGATTTTTTAAATGAAATAAACTTGTTAACCAAAATAAATGATCTTACTTCGCATCAAGATCGTCTTTGAGATTTTCTACTGTAGCCAAACCAAACATTTTATACCTCCGACAGATCTGTAAACATCCTCAAGTGCAGTGCTCTTGCTTCAAATTTAGCTTAAAACATTAAAATTTGTGATTTATAAATCTTTGCAACCAATTGTCATTTTATTTCAGAAGATAAAAATGTTGTTTTAGCACTGTCCAATATCCCGCTTATCACGAATTTACCCTCTACAAGTAAGATCATTTTCATAATAATAAAACTAATTATTACAGACATTATATTTGTACCCTAAAATAATCAGTGTTAATTACATTTATTTTTTAGGATTGAAATATATGAATTCATGATATTATTGTCTATGGGTCAGAACGAGGATATGTGGAAGCCTATGAACTATTTGAGAACATTAGTTGACTAGGATCATTGTTTGGAAAATAAATACCCTCCTGTTTTGCATGGAAAAATAACTCTACCAGTCTGCGCATTTCGAGACCCCCCCCCCCTTTAAACTCAACAAAACTGCATAAAGCCTTCACTATCTAATACAGTGTATGGAGGACGATATTTAAAACTATTTACCCACTGTCATGTTTCGTGGGACACCCTGTACCATCTCACAAGCAGCGAAATGAGACTAGAGGATATTTCTCTGTTGGATCCTACAACAAAATTACCTCTGAGCGGGTCATTTGATTATCCTTTGTTGAATGCAACCCTCCTTAACTGTACATGCAAGTAAAAAATGTGTGGATCATAGCAGGGAAGCTATTGCTCCCTCGCTGAAAATAGAAACTAACTTGAAGTGCTAGAAGTGATGACCTTGCCAATGCAAGTAGACAGAATGTTCAGCACTGAGACTGCAATTACAATTAAGCAAAACAAAAAAACGGAGAGGGGTACATCAATACAATGATAGGGTCTTATAATGGCTTCAAAGACAGCGAATCGTAAATATTCTTTCAAAAGCAGCGCCAGAAATGGACGGGCATAGGGAGGCAAGACAAGGAGAAAGGAGAAAAAAACTGAACATTTGAAATTATTAAATATGCCTCGTACCATTTTATTTTACAAAAATTATAAAAATATGGTTAAAATACATAGAATCTGTAAATTGAAAAATCACGCTTTTATCCTTAGTTTAAAAGACACAAAGGATTTGAGTTTTTGGCCACAAACTCTAATTTTCATCCCTACATTTGCATTCCGATGCTGTAGACCTTTGATATTACAAAATTATGAATTGTC